TTCATTAAAAAGGGGGAAAACAAATACAAAACAGAGTAAGACTTAATGTGAAGGCCTTCTCACCGTCATGCTCCTGTATTCATCCTCAAACATATCCAGAAAGATCTCTTCGCCCTGTGAGGACATGAAATGCTGGTTCAAAATAAGACAGAGAAAATAAAAGCTCAATGTCTTATCTCTACATGTTTAAGTAGTGATTTCTAACACAACATTTCAATTGTAGATCATTTTCAAATGTCAGGTATAAAAATGATGCCAATGCACATGAAAAAAAACACATTTTATTTTTTTAAACCAAATCGAGAACCAAACCACGATGGAGAATATAAGATTATTTAAATATACTTAGGAAAGTATTTGGATGATCAACTTCTACTTTTAATATGCAAGTAATTGGGCGACTTTTGCCTTTATGTTTTGGACAGGACAGCTGAAGAGAGACATTTTGGGAGCAGAGAGAGGGGGAAGAAACACAGCTGAATTTGTGTCCTGGAAAGATTTCCACTCATGCTTTCCTTTTTCTTTGCAACTGGGTCATGTCTCAAGTTACAGGTATGAGAGAGACACAGAGTGGATATAAACACACAGTCATGACACTTTATGATAAGCATCACTTTCTGTAGGGATCACAATGTACTGTGTATGTTCTTTACACAGTGAAGCCACATTCCTCTACTCATGCATGCAATGAAACTAAAAGCTCTCTACTTGCTAATATGAAAATACTGCAAACCTTCCTCTTCCAAACATAACATTAAGTCAAAATCCCGCTCATGTGTTGGTGTGTTCCAGCATGTCACACATCTTAATGATGGTCGGAGCGGGAGGGAAATTCTCAGAAGTGTTTCATAAATTTTTTTAAACATGTTGTGCAACCAAAACAGGAAATGCTGGACTGATAAGACAAATTGTCTGGGCACGCTCGTTTGCACACAACACAGTGATTGTTATGATGTGTTGATGTTCATCACCAGCTTTTCCTGTCCGTCTCACTGACCTGACAAATAAAGGCTTAAACACTCGACCTGTTACTGAAGTGAAAATGAAACAACCGCAGCTAGGAGTAACAAATGTTAGGCTCTTCAATTGAACAAAATGACATGAAATGAGTAGCTCAGTTTAAGATCTGATGTTTGAAAAATGTGCATTTTTTGCAGATGTTTCCCCTGAATTGTTTTGGACATTGGGCTATCTTACATGAGCTGTTTTCACATTATTCAATCCTGAACATATCCAGAAAAGTCAAGACAGCCTACTAAAGTTGTGTTTGATGCTGGTGTAAAAAGAAATACTCGTTCTTAGTTATAACCCTATTTTTCATCAGGCCTCTCTGTTTAACGGTTATGTTTGGATTTAGTGTTTCTTCACCTCCTTGGACCTCGAGGACTGAGGTGGATGAACCAGGAAAGGGCACACAATCTAAACTCCACAAACAACTCCACACAATCTGATTCCAAAACTGATAACCAAAGAGACACATAATGAAACAGAAAGAGATAATTTGTTCCATGCCATAAATAAAGCATGACATGCTATACATGGGAATTACTTTGAGTTTGACCTACACCCTTTTCAGGGAAATGGTGTTAGTTATAATCAGAGGATACACTCTTGTGTGCACATTCATGTAGAGCACATGTGTCAAGAAAAAAAGAGACCTAACAGGTAGATTGTGTTTTTGATTTTGTGGTGGTGTGGTTCACGAGAGGAACTGGTCATGACTCCAGCGTGGCTGTGTGCGCTTTTCTTTGTTTACCTCCCTACATTACTGGTTTTCTGTCTGTTTGTCTCTGCCACTAACTGTTTCTGTCCAAGCAGCCAGAACATTAACGTTTCCATGCATTGACTGCCAACTGAAATCCCACTCTGCTGCAGCAATCAGCAGCTGAAGTAAACTGAAATACTAAACCTTCTCTTAAACAATGAATCAGTTTGTAACTCAAGCTGCCACCTATGGCTGAACTCAACTTTGTTCTGAATATATATAGGTTGTTGGAGAGAAGCACTTGGTTATTATATTACGCTTGGGTGTATGTGTGTGTGTGTGTGTGTAAGTGTTACAAAGTGTGGTTGATCAGGTGTGTGTAACTGTGTACACTCACCTTATAGAATCTTCGCAGTAGATGCAGACTTTCCTCCCGAGCACCCTGCACATTCAACATGAAGGACAAATAGTGAGAAGTTTGCAAGTACACAGTGTGAACTTTGATGCAATACAAATTCCATGCATCCTTAACTTAAATAAGTGCTCAAGCAGTAATCTTTCTAGACGAAAAAAGATTGACAAGTAGTCTACCAACACCTGCACTTGTCCCCATTAAATAGTACATGATAAAAACACAGCCCATGTGAAATGTACCAAATCCTTATTTTGATTATTGATCAAAAACAAGCGTCACTAAATCTTATCTCTGCTAAAAATATTGAGACATGGACAATAGACTGAAGCACTCCGGGCACCCGGGATTGATCTTGTGGTACACTGGGAGTCTCTTAGATGGAAGTCTCAGATATTTCTATTATTAGATAACGATGTACAAATCAAATGGTTTACAAGCAAATCAGTGATGGCAGGTGGAGGAAGCAAATACGACAGTTACTTTTCCAAACAGGAAATATTAGAAAAAAAAAGTGTCAACGACAGTGAACCCTGCTAAAGAGACGACGTTAGCAGTGCCAGTGGTGACACTTTGACACCTGCTAGCAACAAACAACGCAAGGAAGGATATGACTTGAGTCACATCCAGTTTGAATTCTTTTGGCACCGAGTGGCACAGAGAATGAGCCTAGGCCGCAGTGTGTGGTGTGCGGTCAGTAATAAATAATGTGCATATCAGGAATAAAATGGCCTCCTGTGTAAACTGTATGTTTAGTGAAATAGCCCTATGTATTTCAATGTTGGCCATAGTGGTGGTACTTTGAGAGCAAAATATTTTCTGTGGTGGTACACACTGTGAAAGGTTTGAGAACCACTGATAGAGACCTTGTATATCAGCTTGCTTTCAACTAAGTTTTTTTTTTGTTTTTTTTTGCAGGTCCCTTTTAGTTCGTTCAGTTCATTTGTAAATAAATATTCACTGAATACTTTCCAACAGAAGTCTGACAGCTGCTCCAGCTAAATGTTGAGACATGTTGATGATAATTACATGACAAACTTTGAATCCCACATTTAAATGGAACAGAATACCATGTACAGTTACTGATAATTCATGTGTCACTCCTGCTCCGTGGTAGGAAAAGGCAACTCCTTTAACTGTGAAAGCAATCATTGCTTCCCTGGTGAATCAACTACATCATGAGCCAGAGAGCGAGAGGATGTTCTTCCTGCTGGGACAACACAATGAGAGTGTGTTTACGAATGGTAATCCTTCAACAATGTAAAGCCTTATCTGAATAAACTGAACCTGGTAACATCCGCTATGAGAGGTTATCAAAATGACTTTGTCAGCGATTTCCACACAGCGGGGTGGAGAGAGAGAATAAGCAGGTCAGTGGACATTTCACACTAATTATAAAGCTAATTAATTTCTAGGCTTGGTTTTTGTCTTTTTTTCTTCATGGAGTAGAAAACAGGGCCAGAAGTTGAAATTTTTGAAAACAAACTTTGATTAGAAATAATGATCCTGGAAAAACCCTTCAAATAATTCATCCTCCTTCTTACTTGGTTACATCTGCCTCATACTAAAAGACAAATTACAAACGCAGGAGGAATACCATTTCCTTTTAATACAGTGAAGAGACATAAGAGGAATTAAAAAAAACAGTTCAGGATTACTTGAAAATGAGAGAGGAGGAAATAAATACAATTCCCAGCAAGATCATGAACAAAAGTTGCGCAACCAGGTCGGAGAGCAGGAAGTAGAATGGATGAGGAGAAAGGGAGGGAGTGAATAAGGAGTTACTTCAGAGGTGAGATGTTATGTTTAAGTGCTAGTGGGAGAGGAAGAAAAATATTTTGTAACTAGACATCATTAAGTGAAATATGTCTTTGAGAACACGATAACATTTCCTTTTAAGCTCATGGATGACTTAATTTCCCTTCACTCTACTCTGACCCTTGAACTCTGCATGTGTGTCTGTGGGTTAATGGAGATTTGTGACATGGACTGTTTATGTGAGCGAGTTATAAAAAAAAAAGGTGTGTAAGAGTGAGTTACCTCCAGGCAGGCCAGGTGAACATCTTTGATTATACAGTCGCTCCCAGACAGCACAGACTGTTTTAACAAAAGGCAGCTCAGCTCCAGCGTAGCCAGACGCACTTTACCATCTACACACAGAGGACACATTTATCAGGATACCTCACACACTACAGTTACATGCTGGCTTCACGTTGCAAAATACACAAGAGATATCGTGTCAAAATGTACACTCTAAAGTTATAACTGCACCAGAATTTTCTAACTAAATGAAGATGATATATACAGAATAATCAGAACTCTTGTTCTATGTAAACAGCATTAACCATGATGATATGTTTTTGTAAATATGCATAGAAAATACAAAATCACAAGATATGAAAGTAGTTGTTTCGGGAATGTAAATCCTGTAAAGTTTGTGAACTGAGATTTTATAATGGAAGATATCTGAGAGACTTATTCCTCAGGATGAAATGATTATGGATTTTGACATCTCAATTATTTTGCTTTTGATTACTAATTTATAAGTCACATGCAGTCTTTAGTAAATTGTTATTTATTGTTGCTTTTTGCAAACAGACATAAAGTTATCCAGTACAAAATAATAAATAACAGTAAACCAGAAAGTCCCTCTGAATTGGAAGTTATGTGGAAAAACACTTCTAGTTGGCTTTTTGACATGAACTGTTGATGCATAAATAATCATTTAACAGTGATCATAAAGCATAATGAAAGTAAAAATCAGAAAGTCCATGCCTCTTAACTACATACTTCCCTTTTTAACAAACAATGCAGACAAAGGTCAAAAGTCTTTTGTTTTTCCTGCTGGTATATTCCCCTAAGAAGCCCAGCGTTAACTACACTGATGGGGGGGAAGAAACGTTGAACAGTCCCTGATATTTATTTACATTTGCATTTACATGCTACACTGAAGCCAAACCGGAACCACTCAGTTATTATGTATTAACATTACTCGGGCGTGTAGTGCAGAAGCTGCATTAACTTTCATGCTTTTGTCACTTTAGCCTCTACTTTTTTTCCTGCAGGATTTTGTTATGGGGCTTGATCGTCTTCAATGACTCCATAGTCATTCTGTGTACCTGAAATGTCCCCCACACTGCAGATTTTATTTATGTCTTCTGAGGATACAAAGCTTCACTGCAGGTTCTCTCTGCCATGGTAAAGCTAATGTAGCTTAGTTTGATTAGGATGGCACACTTAGCTGGTGACACTTTTTTTTGTGTCATGCTGGGTATGCCAAAAATAATGTTCCAGCCCCCTTTTTTGTGAATGAGAAAATAAACATGTGGTGTTGCGGAGCCTTTAGGATTAATTAACTGTGACGTTTTAAACCGCCCCATTCCTACTTGAGCCACAAATTTACATAACTTAAGATAAAGACAATGTTAAAATCTTGAAAGCAGATCATTTTAAAGGTAATGTTTGTAATTTTGTCTCTGTGTTCGTGTGCGTCACCTGGCTGTGCTGCCTGGTTCATGATTCTGATGAGTCTCTCTGACAGCACCAGGCTGTAGGAGCTCCTCTCCTGGTCAGGAACTGGCAGCTGCAGACGCTCTAGAAGATCTCGGTTTATACCTGCAGGTAGACAGCAGGTAGACAGACCAGGTAAGGACAAAGTTGAATGAAGATTTGGTGGCATAACTTGATTACTGTAATGGAATCTGTGGTCTCACTGCATTCAACTGAGATTCTGCAGCTATGGTATAACCCCGGGGTTATCTCTTCTACATGTGGTCATCTTGAAAGTGTGGTTTGTGCAAACGTCTCACCACCAGAGTGGTAGAGTTTCAGAGAAACGATGATGACTTGTAGACTTTGAATCATGAATCCAGAATCGTTTTGGATAAATAGATTGTCAATCGAATCCTGACCCGAAGAATCGAAATCGAATCATGAGACACCCAAAGATTCCCAGCCCAACCACTCACTAGGTCTTTCAGGGGCCCAGACATTTCTGCATATGTGTTCAGATGTAAAAGAAAATAAAGTGTCTATGCTGAGTGTCTATATGGACCTCTGATATGGTTGACTTCTTTTCAAGAATGAGCAATAAGCAACGTGTTCACTGTACACAAGTATGAATGCAAAGAAAAGCAAACCTTTGCTGTGTGACACAGCGTAAAGTAGACAGAGGACAAACAAGGCGTGGTAGTCATCACTGGTGCAGTCCAGAGCGCTATACACCATGTCCAAGAACGGTCTGCGAGGGCAAAAAAAAAAAAGTCTCATTAACCTTTTATTCATTGTATAGACTGAATATACTGCTCTGAGATTTATGCAAAAAAACACCACATAATAAAAAGGAGATTAAACTCACAGTTCAGACAGTGTATATGTGTACCTGCTCCTCTGCATGTGCGTGCGGGTGGCTGCAGCCGTCTTCTCTTCATCAGTGATGTTCTGCTCGGTCAGCTCTGACACCTTACACTTCTCCATCACCACCATCTCTATCTCTGTGAGCGCCCAACACACACACACACATTTTGTACTCACTTGCATAAATGTCCAGAAATGTGAAGTTAGATTTGAATGTTTTTCACATCACATTCTTGACAAAGACAATAAATGATTAAAGTTATGAAAAAAAAAAGAATCCTGTCACTAGTGGTTATGATTTTACATTCTGATGTGCTTCCTTCTCACTCCTGACGGCCTCGAAAGGTGATGCCACGAGATTCTTATTATTGTACTGTTATGAAGCATTATAGCGCAAACAATTGATTTCCAATGCATACAAATGTTTGTAAGAAAATGTCAGCTTATGTTGCAGTCTTTACTTGAAAAAGGTTTCTTCTGGTTTTAACTTTTTCTTTCCCCCCAGTCAGTTATAAAGGCTTGGTCAAGTCTCATTTAGACACTTTGTTTTCCTCTGCAGCTTGCAATGCCTCTTGAGTTTAAACCCATGAAGTTGATAAATAAATAGTTTGTTATGGCCTGTAGACGCATTACAGACTGTAGCTTCACAGAGACTCTGCAAAAAGAGTATACTCAGTCAAAGTTAAGAAGGAATCATTTCAGATGAGTGGGATGGTCATATTCAAATGTTTTTTTACAAACACACACAGAGCAGGATTGAGAGACAGGCGGAGAGGTGAGGAGCACAGGATGGATGGTGTGTCACCGTGGAAATGGACAGTCAGCTGCCATGGAGATTTGTGTGGGACATGTAATAAGTGGTAGCCATGGCAACCACAGGGAAATAAAAAATAAAATAAAAAAAGTAGCCAAACGGGAAGCAACAACAACAGGGAGCCATCATTTCAAAACCAGTAAAAGAGGAATTAAGGCATTATTTGAATGTTTTTCTCTTCCGTATTTTCATTGTTTTCAACAGTCTCCTCCTTTTATAGGAATTCTGCATCACCTTGACTTGACATAAAACTTAAAATCATGACTAGGGGTGGGACAACATTTCATTGTCCTGACTCCTCTGATACTGACCATTATTGAGTCACTAGTGTAAATACAGTTTATCTGCTAATTTGACTAACTGCGTCACTAATTCATGCCTCCCCACAGTGGCTCTTTCAACAAGAATTAGGGTAACATGATCCAAGTTTAATTGGCCAAAGAAGACGTCAGCAGTGTTTAGGGCAGTAACTGGATGTACAGTTACAATCATGTGCATGTTGAATAAAGTGCACAAGATTGACTAAAAACAGAACATTTACAGTGAAGTAAATCATCATCTTCTAAACTTCGTCTCTCCTTCTTCATGTTTTGAGATGAGGGCTGCTGCTGTGGTGGCTGTTTAGCACCCAGGGTGCATCATGGCAGACTGTGTCTACATTGATGGGAGTAAAGAAACACTCAAAAACACAGTCCTGTACTGCTGTGTCCAACAAGACACACACTCACCTTCCGCCGTCTCCCCACTCGCTCTGCTTCCCTTAGAACTCCCACCTCCTCCTCCTCCTCCTACTCCCTCTGTACCTTTTCCCTTCTCCCTCTCTCGGCCTCCTTCGCGCTCTCCTCCTCTGCCTTCGTCGTCCCAGCCCTCCTCTCCTCCTGCGCCGCCGCCGCCACCTCCTCCCCCTCCCCCAGCCCTCTCGTCATCTTCATCCTCGCCCAAGTTCTTGTAGTTTGGTCTCTTCTGCGTTTTCTTGCGGCCACGGTGGCGGGACAACTCCAGAGAGCGCTCGAGGGACTCTAGGGGCTTTGTGAACCTACGCACACCTCCTGCATTGGCCTGAAAAACAGAGAGCAATGACAGAGGGTTTTAGACCAAAGACTGTACATGACATGGACACAGTCTCAGTGATATTACTCATCGGCTTTATAAAACCCAAATATGTCGGTCAACATATTGAAAATGCTGAATCCATCCAACTTTCATTCAATCTAGACACAGGTAAAGAGGAGGGGGCCCTAAGCCTTCTTGCAAAGAGCCACAACACACCTAGCTGTCAGTCATTTCAACCACGCCCCCATTTATGCAAATGTAGGTATAACTCTTCTTGTATCCCTCGGCTTATAAAGCCAGCATAAAGTGGACACTTGAGTAACTGCAGTTTTGTGCGTTTCTGCCTTGTGGTAAATGTTTAATTGACACTGTTGGAAAAGGCTGCTTTGTAAAGTTTGAGCTAATCTCATTCATACGACTTCGACAAGCAAGGAAGGGCAACTTGAGGTTAAGTGTCTGGCCCAAAGACGTTAGACATGTGGCTGCAGGAGCTGGGGATCGAACCCTCAACCTTCAGGTTGACAGACAACCGACTCACCACTGAGCCACAGTCGCCCTAACTGTGGTGGCATCATTTTTCAACACCTAAGGTAATTTTTTGAGACAGAAACACCACACATGACAGAGTCATTATTTAACAATTCTTCATTGGGTGGGAATTCTAAGTGGGCATCAAACCAACTCTTAGATTGTGTTGGTGGTGGTTTAAATAAAGCAATGATTGATAGTTTCCTTCCTGATTTTTCACATCTACATTGTTATACAATGGTTCAAAAATGATAAGGACAAAATATAGAAGGCGTTCATTTACGGTAAGTCAGACTTACCGTAAATTACTGAGTAAACAGTCACCAGATATTTTGAACATAAAGGGAAGCAATATCTCTGCATCCCGTAACTGGTAGACACAAAAACACACGAGAACACTTGCATACGCAAATACACCCTTACATAAGTCATGTGCCGATATCTTCTCACACTTGCACAGAAACTTACAGTAAATCCTCGGTGACATATCGTTTCATCCAAGAAAGAAAACACGCACATGCCACTTCCTCCCTGATAAACTTAAGCGGAACAGTTGAAAATGACCACTTTTAACACACACAGACACACAGTGGTGTTAAGGCCAAACCACCTTCTGAAATATCTCCAAAACAAACGCAGATACAGACGCAGGAAACAGCTGGGGGATGATTATATAAAAAGCAGAGATGTAAACACTGACTTACAGCAAAACTGAATTATCATAACAAGTATTTTTACCTCCGTTTTGTAATACGCCGCTGAAGACAGAAAAGTTGCTCTCAAAGTTTTAAATGTCATTTGTAATAGGCTTTATCTGGAACAGAATTACCCAGTATTTCCTATGTCTTGTATTTTGGTTGCTGTGGTATCAAACAAAAACAGTATGTCTATTGTTTGATTTTTATTGTAAAGGTTTTATTGGAGTTTAAAATCTGGTACTGTGAAAACCCTAGTTTCTAATGGTTTGTGTGACAAAAAAGCCTTCTTTTCAGACATTAACCTGAAGAATAATAAAGCTATATGCATATTAGATGTAAATCTTCATGTGCACGATCACAGCTATGATACTGATGTCTACATCAACATTTCTACAAACTAGCTTTAAGAATGTGTGATAAAAAGAAAAAGAAACTATGTTCTCAGACACAAACCACAGACTAGTATCAGTGTGTGTGTGTGTGTGTGCGTGTGAGATTGTGTATGTGATTGTGAGTTGCACCTGTCAGCCGAGTATGTTCTGGTAAACCGCTCGCAGCCTGTGCTGAGAAATTAATGGAGTTCAGGGAGCATATAAGACAAACCTACGTATACACACACACACGCACACACGCACACACACACGCACACACACACGCACACACACGCACGCACACGTGCAAACTCCTATACAACCAAACATCACCCGACCTTATAAAAGCAGTTGCCATGTACAGAAAAGCTAAACACCTACGACAGCTGCATGTGCTTATGGGGAAGAAAAAAGACACTTCAGTACAGACATGCAAATGTTGACTTTATGTCCCTAACTGGTGCATTTGCAAAAAGCCATGTGTGCAAAAGAAAGAGCGAAAAAAACAAAACACTTCTTCCAAGAAAGAGATCTGGGTTAGGTGAGCTCTGTCACTGTTCCATCATGTGACCTCTTTGCTGCCACATCACAGACAAACAGGAAGTACTATGTGACCACCTGCGCAGAAACAGATCCCATGCCCTGTCAGTCTGTGTTTCATCTCGATATCAAACACAAACACAGCAGCTGCTCCATCTGATGTGGCACAAACAGTTTCACTGCAGTTTAGTGTTCATTAAGAGTATTAAACACTTGACTTAATAATCTATACAGAAGAGGAAACATGATTTAACTCTTATATTCTTTCAAGTGTCAGGTCATGTTGAATTCAGTTGTGCCTTTCAAAATGGAAAGCCAAAGAAGCTTCAAATGTGAGCTCTACAGTGGCAAAACAGCACCAACAAGCAGTACAAGAGTCCTAAAGCTGCAATAAAGTGAAACCTCCCTCATGTGTTTCTGTACTTGTACACAGAGCTTTACAAATGCAACATGTCCATGACTTTAAATGTGTCCGCACATGCAGAGAGAGAAATCAACACTGTTGTTGAAGGACTAGCTCACAGGTACTGTGTACACAAGTCTGGTTCTGGCTGCCTCTTGTTGTGGTAGACCGACATCGTTAAGACATCACACCTAAACTCACCTTCAACTGGTTTAGCGCACATAATGGCACGCACACGCACACACACAGCGAATAACCGCAGGAGTTCTCAGAAACGCTCACCACCTCAGCACACCCACCTGGCTTCATCAACAGATGGTCACAAAGTAAAGAAATGGGGGAGGACAGACTGAAACGGAAGATGGAAGTGGGACAAAAAGCCAACGAGTGTAAAGCGAAATAAGATGGGGAAGGCATGGGGGAGACTAAGAGAAAAAGAAAGAGAAAGAATCATGGCAAATTCATAGAAAAAGGGAAGCAGATTTGAATTCAAAGAGAATATCATAGGATGAGGTAAAGAGAAAAAATGAGGTAAAGAGAAAAAAAAAGCAGAAAAAGCATCTTGATGTGTCAGTTCAAGATTGAGACTAGAAAAAAAAATAATGAAGATCATTTGCATATTGATGCTTTGCTGTGGGTGAATCATGGAGAAAACCATTGACTCCACAATCTCATAACCACCAACACACACTTCTGGAACTACATCTATGTGGTCGCCCGCGTAGGTGTGCTTGTTTACTGTACTCCAGAAAGTACAGTAAGTGTGTGTTTGTGTGTGTGAGCATTGCACGAGCGGTTTAAAAATCACGTTTGTGTAAGTGTTCCGTGTGTTACCGTGTTCTTGTGTGTGCTGTGCAGGTCTGTCTGCGGGGTGAAGACGGACAGGTCTCCGTTGAGGATGACGTCGGCCAGAGCGTTGACCATTGGCTTATAGTGGATGATCAGAAACACCTTGAAAACATGCAGACATGCTCAGTTAGGAAATTAAACAGAAGTAACTGAGAGTAACTCTTTAAAAACAAGAACCATTCATTGAGAGCTAAATTCATATTTAAAAAAAAACATGTGCAAACAAATAGAAATCTGAGACCCCTAAAATAAGTTAAAGGACTTTATTACTACCGTACTGTATGTAAAATCTTTCTGATCAAAGTTGCAACAGTTTACTTTCAATTTCCATGTTGAACTACCAGAGTTTAATGGACAAGTTTCAGTAAAGGTTAAAAAAGAAGGATTGATCTTGTTTTACAAATGATAGTAGCCACAGTGTGTTTAAGAATTAGACTTAACAAATATCAAATGTTTAAAGCTTCAAGGTTGTCCAGGTTTCAATCGTTAGGTTGACATATAATCAAACAATCAAGTGCACTCATGACGTCTGTATGCTTACTTGAGACAGCAGGTAGAGGGAAACCTGGGGGTTGATCCTTCGGTCTTCAGACTGATGAATACAGAGGAAAGAAGACGCATGAAGCCAGAATGATTAAGTAGTTTGACAATCATTTAATAGTTCAAAAGAAGAATGTGCAACATTTTACACAGAAATCAGGTCTATCCTCTGTAAACGTCTCTCAGAGTCATTACTGTCTACTATGAGTGAGAAGTGCGAGTCCCGCCAGCTGGATTGTTGTCAGAGCCGTGTTTACATGGACGAGACGGCCTTGAGTATAAAGCTGTTTTAGACAATGACTAGAGAAAAGAAAAATAACATAATCACTGCTTATTTGGATGTCATTTGTGTGTCTTTAGAACATCGTCATTCTCTGTAAATTTATGTGCAATATGAAGCTATGAGTTAACCAGTGTGCTGCCGTTAGCATGCTAACACAACAATGCAGTTTTACTTTGGATTAATGCTGTTGCTCAAGGGCGACATCTAATGGATCAAAAAGTCGCACATTCTTCATTTAAAAAGACTCATGTCCATAGTTTTAAGACGCCTGAGGGAGGTGTGGGCAACATACCGTCTCTGGGCAGACCAAGGAGTAGACATAGAGGGGCAGGAAGAGGCGGTTGAGGAGGTGGTCCGTCAAAACGTCGTTGAGGAATTCACAGTTGATGATGAGGATGTCGTTCAGATAGTGGAGGTGGTCGAGGTGCTCGGCCACAAGGTCACTCAACTTTCCTCTGTTCTTGTGTCTGGGAACAACGAAGGGAGAGAGGAGGAGAGATTTTGTTTTGGTTAGATCATCAAGAATTAGAGTGTCATGTGCACAGGAGATTAAATGTGAGGCTGTATTCAGTGTTACAACATTTGAAACAATACAACTAGTCAAAATATATTACAATGCAAATTCAAAATATGCATAATGCACTTGGACTTAAACCAACATCTGATGAGAAAGACCTGACCCCTGGTGGTCACAGCAAGAATGACATTGAGAAACATTGAGAAAGACGGGATTCATTGCACTTACTCTTCATCCGTCTGCACACACTTGTCCAGTTCGATCACATGGCTGCCGATAAACCAGACCAAGTTGCTGAAATATGGCACAGCCGTCTTATCTCGGATGTAGTGCAGCATGTGCTGGTTGTCCACTGGATAGAGGAGGGTCAGGGTCAAGAGCTGGATTAGGCTTGTCATCCACTGAATCAAATTTGCTCACAGATTCACACACACGTTTATTCATACTTTATATTCCCAGCAAGTAACCAAAAGGTGAAACTTAAATATGATTTCAAACACATAATAAGTATTTAAAGTAAGAGGCAAATTAAGAAAATTAACCATCCACATTGAAACAAAAATTAAGAACATGAATTGGTTTAGGTCAGTCCAATGTTATTACAACAAAGAGGGAATACAACTGGAGTGGGAGTAACACTGGCCAGTTCAGTGTCAGTTACAAACAAAAGTGTGACTGAGGCTACTTGTGTTGATAAAAGACGCTGGGTGATGCGCTTTTTTTCAGGCGGCCGCAGGAGCTGCTAACACTCTTTACCCGTTTAAAGAAATCGAAAAAAAAACGCTAGATGGACACAGGGCCTAATAAATGATCTCACAAACACTTTCTGAGATGCATATTGGGATACCTGTAAATCAAATTAATGATATAAATAAAGCTAAAAACAAATAGCAAATCTTAGTGGCCATTAAACACAGTCCGCACTATGTGAGTGTCATACCAGCTTAGCCACTAGGGGATGAATTCAGAACTAAAGTGAAAGAAGACACCAAGTTAACTATAGGGACAGAAACGATCAAACCCATCACCAAAATAACAACCAGCATGAGGGGCTCAGCTCAAATTAAGTCGGTGGAACAATTAACCCAAGACAGAAAGTAGTCAGAGGGCATGCAGTTTGTTTCTGCATGTATGTAGGAGGGCGGGGGGAACAGAATGGATCACAAAAACAAGATTTGCAACGATATTCAAACCCGCACATTTAAACAAATACACCATTAGATAAAGCTAGGACTGGGTATCAGCAACTAGTCATAATGTAATGTTGAAATTAATCATTTTATTTACACTTTTGACAACAAATTTGAGGTTTTAAAACAATCTCAGACAGGTTTGTATCTGTGCCAAAGTTCTGTACAATCAGCCCTGATACCCAGCCCTAGGATAAAGACTGAATGAATGGAACCAACTTACATGAAACTGGAGTTAGGCAGATGGGGCGCGCAGAGGGAGGAGGGAGAGGAGGAGAGAGACAAAGAGAGGTAGAGGTAGAGAAGGAGGAGGAGGAGGAGTGGTTGTTGAAGAAGAGGGGGGAGAGGAGGAAACAGACACAGGGTTAATGTGAGTAAAGGGGCGGCTGTGGAGGGGTGAAGAGTGGGAATAACCCCGCTGGTATCTACAGAAATATACTGCAAACAATGGCACAATCTGGCAAAAGGGTTACCCAAACATTTTTTTTTTTTTTTAACATTGGAAGATTTCACAGCTTTTACTGTTTCAACACAACAAAACAGTCAAGCCAATGCCGTAGCAACATTTGATCAAAACAATGTCTGTTCAATTCCTTTTCCAGGTTGTCATGTGTTGCAGTGCATGACACAAGAAATCAGTAGGAAGCATCAAACAGCAAGATGTTCTACATTATGATGAATTTCACTGCAACATACTGGAACCTGAAGTGTTGTGACACTGCGCATATTTCATAAACCATGGGTTATCTAAAAGTACATTCCTTTTGCTACAATAAGCAGTTTTTAGCATTGGTTAAAAGAGATAGAAAAAGCCACCAATACAGCTGCTGCATTGAATCTGTGCTTCCCTAATTGACTGATTCCTTAGAACAGCCAATGACCCACCCTGCTATAACACAATCCCAATAACAAAAGGTTACTTCATATATGACTAACATTCATCAGTAGTGGTTGAATTCAGTGGTTCTAACTGTAATCCACTGAAGTCATATGATGTTAAGTGTACATGCTAGACTGGACAAACACTTAGAGACAAACATGACGCTTTAGTTTATATGTTGCAGTGATTGTATGTTTAGACAATGTCATTCAAAGTGAAGAGGAGCATGATGCGTGGAGAAAAGCCAAACCCCCCCCCCCCCTTAATGCACCACCCGCCTCCCGGAGGATCGAGCTGCACTGAGACACGGTGGGAAAGAGTAGCAGAGGCCGAGGCGTCACAATGCGGAAAGCAACAGAGCTTTAGGAAGAAGTCCTGTCATTGTTCAGACCCACAGCATCACCACTGTGCTGCTACTGCACGCACACAAGTTGAATTTGGAAACACTGTAATGCTTATGCACAATAGATTTTCAGCTAGGGGATTTTAACAAACGTTGCATGAAGAGTCATCTTGCTTTATTATGTTTGTGAGAGAATATTTACTCTATAGGTGTTTCATATCCAGTTCTGCTGACGATTAAGATTCAACAGTTGGAAAAGTACATCATCCTTGTTTACAAAGTATCAATGCACACTAATACCGATATCTGATACAATCGTCTCAGTGATTGTGACGTATCATATCTTCTTGTTGCTCCCACACCTTGTGTTTTTAAGTATTATACATTTAATGGATGAGTTAAAGGTGAGGCTTTTAAATATACAGTTAATAAAGGAATATTACCTCTCTGCTAAAGTCAATGTGTTCAATTAATCAAGGACAATTGTTGCCAGCTGGCTGTCCCAATAATAATAATACACCAAGTAGCATAAGAGTTAGCTTGTTGCCATAGAAACAAAAAAAAGAATTGAATGAAGTCAGACTAGATGTTACTAAGTGTAAAAGGTGATAGTTTGTTTATGTATTTGATGATTAGAAATAAACATTTTTATTTGTCCTTGTAATTCTCAGTGAGGATTGTGTGCACACCTGACAGACCTGCACAGATGCCACCTTACTGTAGAGTGTAGAGTTTATGCTTATTCTGAGCTCTAATTTTTCATACACATTTTTGTTGATTTGCTGTTAAAGCTGTTAGGTTAAGCAGGAAATCTGGTCTGTGTAGGACCTTCTGTGTGGAACACCACTGATGATTGGCAGATGGTTTTACTGTAAACACAATCTCAAACACTACCAGGATGCTGAGAATATTATGATTCATGAACTCCTGCAGGAACTTTTAAAATCCTTCATTAAAAAAAAGAAAACTGACTTAAATGATGCCTTTAAGAAAGAGACATTCTTCTTCTAAATCCAGTACAGTAAAAAAAACAAAAAACATTTAAGGCCAATATTAGTAAATCTGTATTTGTAGCAGGGTTACCTGTTAGTCATGCTCATGCACCAGAAGCAGCAGCGAGAAGAGGGCAGGAGCACAGAGAGAGGCGGTAGGCAGTCAGTCGCATCCCCTGAGTGTGTATGGGCATGTGTGTGCGTGGTAACATGCGTGTTACTGGCACTCACCTTTGTAGACGTTGAGTGTGATGGTGCGGACAGCGATGCGGACCATGCTTTCTGGATGGTTGAAAAACTTAATGGCCTCGGTGTACAGGGCAAAGTCATTAGTGTGCTGTGTGTGGGAGACAGAGAGGGGGCGCAGATGAGCAAGGCACAGCATTGCACTGCTGCGCTCAGGCGACAAGAGAGCCACAGAGAGAGAGAGAAGGCAGATAGTGAAGACAACAACTCTGGGCAGAAACGCTTTTTTGGAAGACGTAATGAGAGTAACAAGGTGTTGAGATTTTCTAGCTTACCAAGAATTGTTTTTCTATAAACGTAAAGGTGTACATCTGCAGCAATGTTTTTTTAAATTGAAATACAGGCCAGGCACATACACAACAGCAATTTAAGAGCTGTAACAGTGCCATTTTTAGAGAGACTAATTGTTCAAACCCTACAGACCTCATGGAAAACGTCTCTTCAGACGAGATGTACTATTATACAGACTGTATTATTTGAGGAGAGTGTTTTGAAACACACCTCAAGCAGAACTAGCGGAATTTGAGATCGTTCAAATCTAGTACATCAAGTACTTCAGTTGTTCAACATGATTGAGCATTTCAGTATGTAGCACTCAGTAGGCTTGTGTATGTAAACCTGGCTGCTCTGTATCATCTCTCTCTGTGCCAGTGCCTGATCCTGTTCCCAAACATTCCTCAGATGCTGCGACCTCCAGCCAATCACATTTGAGGGCCAGATACCCCCACCAGAGGTCACGGCAAATGAAGAAACCTGACCCTGATACCAAACCCAAACCAGGAGTCTGCCCTCTGTGGGCATAAAAATTAAGAACTGACAAAACCAGAGAAGAGTAAAAAGCAATCCTATAGCGCCCTCTGGAGGACGTGAATCTATACAACAAGAACTTTGTAATTAATCTCTTGTTGTACTTCATTATTGTTAAGTTAAAACACACGCTCCTGTGTTCAGAAAGGGCAGGATTTTCTTTTCTTGTTAGTTTATAAATGTGGCAAAGTAAAAACAAATGTAATGAATAAGTTATTGACATTTTACCAAACACTTGAACAACCTCAGATCTACATATTGGGTCTGGTTTTGGCTTCAGGGCTAAAGCTTCCATCAACAGTACACCAATAACTTTCCCCAGCACACACAGGCCAATGTGAGGAGGACTACATACGGCTGAAAGAATCAAGGATTGCGTCATCATCAGTGATTATTATTCAAGATCATTCGTACTGACAGACACACACAAACAGCATCAAGGCAGAATGATAAAAGTTTTATGAATACTCTTTAAAAAGACTAATAGCATTTTGAACTTCAGAGATACAAGATCTTGTGAAGAACATCGTGGTTGCTCTTCAGCACGACTACATTATAAGACATTACCTTATATGAAGAAAAAAAATAAAAATAAATAGCGGACATTTTTGCTGTTATTGACTCTTAAAAACGCTTAATTTAAACGCATCAATCAGAAGGAACGGATCCGATCCAGCTTAGTCTGAAACAAATTTTAATCCAAAAGAGAGGGGTGGTTAATGCTGATCGTTGTTCTGATTAATATCCATGTACAAGCTTGATCTGATAGGATCTTCCTGCTTGGGGTAAAACTTCTCTTACTACGCCTGTCCGCCCCTCTTCAACTGTGCATGACTGAAGGTCCTGCAGACCTGCACTCTCCCCATGTTTATGGATTGCAGGACATTCTAATGCAACAGACTGCCAAGCTGGTTGAACTTGTCTTATTCATCACTCATTCTCTCTCACTTTTTGTCTGGCAGAGACAGTAAACAATACAAGATTCTGAGTGATAGATCCTCTATCTCCGTCTATCTGCGCCCCCCCCCCCAGTCCGTGGCCTCACCTCGTTATAAAAGAAGTGCACCGTGTGGTTGTTCAGTTTGAGTGACAGGGTCTTGAGGAAGGAGATATAGTAGGCCATGATCTCCTCGTCTGAGAAGTCAAATTTGTGGACGATGATGGAGTTCACGTGGTTGTTCGACAAGAGATAATCTGAGGAGACAATAGAACTCGATCAGTCTCGTTGAAACAGTGATTGAAGAAGAACACACGGCATACCTTAAGAACACAGTGGGTAGCATCACTGCATTTCTCTACTTATCATCAGTGTTGACATGATACCATAACAGATTCCTCTTTAGTATCACCTTTTACAAAAATACACACCTTCTTATTTTATGCAAGATATCTGCCTCCTTTATAAATTACATCATATCATATTCTGAGTCTGTGGTTGCCAAGCAACAACAAGAAATGCAGCAGGCTGCTATGTAATGTTACACTTCAGCAAAGATGGGCAGAGAAAAATGGCATGCATACTTCAGCCAACAAAGCATGTTTATCTGCACACAATACAGTATAGAACAATGTGATTCAACACTCCTGTGGGAATCTTTCACTGCTCACTTTACATCAGGAGGAAAACAGGTTTTAGCATCAATGAAATTCAAAGCCATATATAAAAAAACAAGACATTAAGAGTTGGTAATAAAAAGCATCAATTGCAGCAATAGATGGCAGATTATACAGTTCAGTTAGTAACAATACAGCAGCAGTTTAAATCAATACAGAACATTAAAAGGAATGTATTCTTTGTTGCACCTATATTTTTTGCAAAACATTACATCACACAAGTGTTTCTATTTTTTAAGCCAGGGTTGATGGGAATACTTACACAGGGAAGTCTCGTGGCTAATGTTCTCAAACAGTATGTTGAGGGTCTGGAGCAGCTGAACGCACACGTAACGTCCCGACTTCTGACGCAGGATGTTCAGGAAGAAGGCAAACATGTTCTTCTCCAGGAAGAAGCTGGACACATTGTGAGTAAAAAAAAAAACAACAACAACCATAATAGGATTAAATTCATGATGACTTGACTTTGCAATATAATTATCAAAAGGAAGAACATTTCCAGTTAGCTGCATCCAGGGGGAGGAACCGTTATTACTGTGTTTAGTGAGATTCTATCTACGTTTGGTTACCAATAGAATGGTAGGGGAAACACTGGATTGGATTGTTTCTCATCTGAATCTTTACTGTTTAACATCTGTCAACATTTTACTGTCTTTTTTTTCAGCTCTCTGACTGGGCATCTCTAGCTTCTCCACGGTAGATACTTAATTTAAAAGACACAAGCGCCCCAGTACTTTTGCATCATAGTAAATGAAGGTCTCAAAGCTCAATCTAAGTGTATGAGCCAAAATGTGGGGTATTTTCTTTGACCATTTAACTGCTGTTTTTGATCTGACGGTGGGTGTTGCTGTTTGCCTACAGCTCAGTAATAAATGATATGGAGTGTGATCCAGAAAAGGCTAAATGTGGTGTATTTCATCATACGTTTGAAGTTTTATGTTGTGGACATTGTTCAAATTCTTGCATTTGAAGCTTAATGAATTAACAGTTTGAAGTTCAATCCAGTCTGGCTGCCTATCTACAACGACTAAAACAGCCTTTGTTAATGCTGTCTGCATCATGGCTGAAAGCGTTACAGCCAAGTCACTCCAGGATCAAGCTCAGCATTAGACTGAACTCCTTCAACAATCACAGTGGCACAATAACACTAAATCTTGGTTCAACCCTTTTCATAACAAAAAAAATTCAAATTTCCTCAGCCTACCAGTTAATAAAGAAAGCCTGTAATTATTGAAAGTGTTTTCTGGTGCTAGATTCTGTCAACACTCTCTGTGGCTTCTTTGCTCTTCAAAGCCATTTCCTGTTGCATAAAAATGCAAGAAGTCATGCAATGGGTACACAGAGATGATGATGCATTCAGTTATTAGAAAGCTTCTACCGATTAAAAACAAAACACAGCACTATGTCTCAAAAGTTTGGGTCTCATGAAACGACAAGAATGTTTCACTATAACTATGCTAGAGGTTTTGCAAGTCAAATGTTAAGGGGGGGAATCAGGACTCTATTTGATACACAGACAGAGAAAAAGGCAGCTTTGGGACCCATCTAATACAAATGTTTCTAGTACTTACTCAAACACAGAGCTGTCATTCTGATCACCCCAGATAAGGATCTCTGTGATGGAGCGGATGGTCTCCACTAGAAGGTTTCTGTTGTGGTCTGTCACAGTGGTGTTTTTGGTCAGGACATGGTACATATACCTAATGGAGGAACATCATTTTTTTTTTAATAATGTGAGAAAGACAATGGTGTGTTCAAAACTCAGTTTTTTCAATACACAGAAATCTATCTCTTAAGATCACACAATAAAGACTGGCTAAATTAATCCAGGGACAAATCTTGCTGCACAGGCTCGAATATTTTGACCTACTGCAATTGCACTTTATAACGACTCCCCTTTAAGTGAGGACAGAAGACATTTAAACTTTTAAACTTTAGCCTGAGCTGCATATATCAAACTGTATTTTGCGCCTGCATATTTTGCACACTTGAATGCTTTTTTATAATAATTCTTTATTTATCTATCATACTATGCACTGGCAGAGCTAGTATTTTGTACTGTTATCTATGAGTAACAGCTACTTATGCACATGGACCATCCATACCACTTTTTTTTTATCCTGGCTATGTATTGTGGGCTCATGTTTTTTTTTGTATGGGTGGGATATGTATGTATACATGTATTGTGTGTTTGTATGTATGCTGGCTCACCTAAATTTCCCTGCTGGGATGAATAAAGTTTATCTTGTGTTATCTTAATAATAAAACAAGCTTAAGAGCATTATAAGCCGCATTGGTTTGTGATTATTAGACAACCTGGAACACATTTGAAAAAAAAAAAAAAACACTTTCTTTAATCTCTCTCTCTCTCTCTCTCTCTCTCTTTTAATTGGTGGCTGTTAATTAGCTGCACCTGTTGTGGTAGAACAAAAACGTCCCAATGGGTTTTTCTACTTTGGTGCTGCCAGCTTACTCTACGTGATAATCAGCTGTAGTAATAAACTTTACACTCTAAACCAGGGAGGGGAAACTTTGGTCACAGCGAGGGGCCACATTCATTTAATTCTCACTGCCAGGGGGCCAAATTGTAGCATACAAAAAAAAAAAAAAACGATTACAGTCGATTATGTCTCAAATTTATCTCAACATACACCAGCGACCAAATATTATTATGGACATATTTCTGTTTTTCATGATTTCATGGCAGGTTTCATCATGTTTTCTTCATGTTTCCAGTTAATTGATGTGTCAAAATTGAGCTGAGGGCCACGTTGAGGGTTGATGAGGGGCCGCATGTGGCCCCCGGGCCGCCAGTTGCCCACCCCCTGATCTAAACAGACAGGTAGATAATCATTTTTCAGTCGAAAACCTTCAACGTTTTAACACAACGTCAATTTTGTTTCCAGATTTCTTCTTTTTTTTTTACCTTAACCTAGCACAAGCTAGCTCACATGTTTACCGACCTTACTAGGCACCAAACAAAATGACATACGGAGCAACAGTTTAGCAACCAAGCTGAGCCTGGGCAGCAACAGTTCGTTACCTAATGCAATTTTACCAATTAACAATTATGCTAATGAACACGCTTAAAGTCGTCCTCAACTGGTTAGCACGAAGGCTAACGTTAGCATATCTGAAGCTAGCGACTCACTTCAAATGGTCCAAAGAATGGATGTTTTTCGCTTTCCCTTGTCCTCCAACCCAGCTCCGTGACCGACCGAACATGGTTGCGGTTTTAAGGGGTTTTCGTGATATACCGGGCGTGTTATTCAGCACAGGTTACGGTCCGCGTCCATCACAACACCATCTTTCCCGTCCTGGTAGCTGCTTAGCAAACAGAAGGTGATGAGGGGGTTTTTTTGTTCAAAACTTTATTGAACAGGATTGAAACGTACAGGCGGCGCAGACATGTGACAAGACCTTGTTTCTTTATTTTTAAGTGTTGTTAATTTTGAGAGTTTTGTTCTTTTTTTTCTAATTTAAAATGTATAAAATGTACCAAGTGTACTTACAAGTTTAAAATGATCATATTTTTTAACATGTTAAAAATGCGCAATGACATACACCAGTAGCCTATATACAGTCTATGTATATAATCCAGTTAAACAATATTTTTCAGTTTTTTACAGTTTTTATTTTTCGGTTGAGACCAATAAGTAGTTCTTTGTAGTTTAGTTTGATTTTATGTTTGGTTCAACATAAATCATGGGCGGTTCTAGGCAGGGGCCAACAGGGGCCAGTGCCCCTTTAACACTGGCCCTTTTTCAAACCGGCCACTACCCCCTCCGTTTGCGCGTCCCCGCGGAGGGTCCACCGTCCCAAACCAACTAGCGGGGAGTGGTAGTGAGTTATAAAACCCTCCACCAGCGAGTGTGCGCCGATGCCGACTTTCGGATCACGTGCAACGCCTATTGTGTCCGGTCGTCATGGAGACAGCAACCTGTGAGTTCAAACACTGCTCCAACTAAGATAGACATTTAATATCATCATACAGACGTTAACAACTTCAAATGTGTGCTGAGGATCAAATACATGTTTATTTATTGTAAAGTGTTTTATATTTACTGTTGCAAAAACAAAAGAATATTAAATCATGTTGCGGACAACTTTTCACTGTTAATCTTTATTTCTTATTTTTCTGCTTTTGATGTCTTTGTGAAATCTCAATTCAACAACAAAAAAAAATACACTTTTCGCTGCTCTGATGTTCAACAATATTATCCTCGTCTTTGCATTAAGTTAGGACACCCTGATCTAGAAATTACAATAAATTAACTTAAATTATAAATTACAATAAACCATGTAGGCTCAATCTAATAGTTTTCTAAAAGTCTCCACTAATATAACTTACTAAAGAAGAAGAAGAATCTAGGCTCCATAAATATTTTTTCAGAATGCATTAGCTACAAAAAAAAAAGCTTTTCCCGCAAGATACCGCTGAGTAACCATGGTAACACACAGGTCCTGTTTCCGTGTGAGAGAGGGAAGTTTGTCCCAAAGCCTGCCGCTGTATTTCTACCTTACACCTGGATGAAGGAGACTTCATTCAGCTGCGAGTGTGACTTCTGACGGAGTGCAATCCGTCACGGAGGGGGAGGGTGTAGGGTCTGGTTTGAAAAAGGGCCACTGAGCTTGGCCCCCACTTTGGCCACCCTTTCAAAAGGAAGAGCCCCCCCCTCATAACACATACACAGTATTTGACTCAACAACCGGACTCACAATCTAGTATTAAATTCTGTTACTGAAACAAATATAAATCATGGTATTTTATGATGTGCGCTTTTATATGACATAAAAAAATATATATATTTTAAAGCGATTATCTTTGTCTATTTTTCACCTGGGTTTAATGTTCCCCTCTGACAAAACAGCTGCCCCCAGTTTGGCCCCCTTCAGTAAACGTGGACTAGAAACGCCCCTGAACATAATCACAAAACCGTTTTCAGTTTTTTTTTTTTTGGGGGGGGAGGCAGGATACAGAAATACAAAAAAAAAATGACTGGGGGGAAAAAAAAACAAAAAACTACAAAACACACTTCCTTTTGCGAGCTGTGACGTTTAAACCACGCGACACGTCCTCCTGGCGAAGGGCTGAGCGACATCATAACAGGGCCAATCACAACAGAGCCTGTCAAAGCTGTGAGCCAATCGAATCCCGATGCTTCAAGCGTCGCCCGTGACGTCGGGACTGTTTTGATGCGGTTGATTAAAAAAAAAAAAAAAAGGTTAGCAAGGGACAGTTAGATGATGAAGGCATCGATTGACACGTGTGTAGTGAATGTTTCGCATTTCAAGGTACGACCGCGTCTTAAACTATAACTTGACACTTTAAATTGATTGCTGAAATGATCTTTTATTGTTGCAGCTAGCCTCGCATGCTACTGTTTTTAGCACTAGCCAGCTGGCATGGCACGAATTCCGCAATCCCAAGAATTCGTCACTCTAGCTAACGCAGTATTTTGATACTGTCTGCCGGTTATTTTTAGCTATGAAAATTACGCCCTTAGGTCCACTGTCGTTTTTTACTGGACTGTAAAGACTAAAGTAGCCCCCCCCCCCCTCTACAATCACAGTTTGCAGACATGGGCGCCCCAGCAGCCCCATTACCCCAGACAGATTATTAGCCACATCCTGGCCCCTGCACAGACAAAAGGACCCAGACCGTGGCTTTCTTTCTTTTCTATGACACACCCAATTTATGCCCAGCTGGATTCGGTAGAATCTCTGTTGGACGAAGTACCATATATGTTTTATTTGGGCCTGTTCTTTGTGAACGTCCTGATCCTCTACTATGCCTTTCTGATGGAGTACATCGTCCTGAATGTGGGGATAGTGTTTCTGCCTGAGGACATGGACCAGGCGCTGGTGGACCTAGGGGTTCTGTCCGACCCGGCCTCCGTCCCCTATGACACAGACACGGAGCTGGATGTGTTTGAGGGGTATCTCGAGTGACAGGCCGGTGCTTAGAGGTCGAAAAAGGGGGAAAATAGAAGTGGTGTCCCCCGGAGGAGACTGAACTCTCCCTGGGGCGGTGATGTGGAGGAAAAAAAAAGGGGATGCTGTGGCTGCCTTCTTGTCACACAGACACATCAGTGGAAAAGTAAGCAGTACACACAGTACACAATTTCTTTTTTCCGTGTAGCATGCAGTAAAACGAATAGAGCATGTAATATTTCACGTTCAATTTCACTAAAACCAAGCTTGTGTTTTCACAATCGAAGAAATGTTTCAGTGTTGTTCAACTTGTGTCACATATTTCTAGGTTGTCTCGGCTCAAAAAAAAAAGAAGGGGGGGGGGTCGCCCAAGGGTGAGATTCAGCACCACCAGCCACAGAAGATCAGCAACTGTGCCCTTTTCGTGGAAGCAGCACTCTCCAGTGGATCGCCGGCCGGTCTGCTGCCGACCTTAACGCAATCGACCCAGGCGTCTAGTGTGCCTCAAAATGGATGAAAGATTCAAAAAAACAAACAAAAAACAAAACAGCAAGCAGAAGTGGAGATAGTCAGCTGTTTCCTGTGGATGACAAGTAAATGCTGCAATGATAATGACTTTGAGTAATGCAGCCAGGGCAGGCACAGTGCAGCCGATGTGAATGGAATGCCAAGCCGACTGTTAAAATACAGCGACTCAAAACGTCACACTGATGTCCTGTGCAGTGTGACGTCTCAGAAGAACTGGCAACGTGCAGGAAAGTAAAGTCCACTGTGAGTCCGTCTGCCTAAGTGACAACTCGTTTCCGTTGTCCGAACACTTTGCAACCTTTGCAGTCTAACTCATCAAAGCGAGCCTAGCTTGGTATGTGTCCTTTGAGGCTAACCCTACTTCATGTCTGCCTCAGGGATGCACACACACACACACACACACACACACACTCAGGCGCACAGTTAGGAACTCTCAGTGCACTGACGGAGAATTAACACCAACAGCGGACACAGGCTGTGACACCACAGGATGCAGGACTGCTCAAATCTCAACAAGCTGTCTTATTAATCAGGACCACCGCGCTGCACTCTTTACTGTAATGAAGGAAGTATTAAAGTATCGAGGGAGAGTAAAAAAAAAATATGGTTGTAGGATGGTATGATTTGTTGTAGGATTTTCTCTTAAAGCAAACTGGAATTGAGAAAGTGTGACATCAAATGTGTTAAACCTTTCGGTCTATTTACTTTCAAAGGTCGAAACTTTCTATCAAAGACGGTAGAAGTGAATAAGATATTCGTTGTTTTTTTTAATCTACTGTTGTTGCATAGCATGTTTTTTTTTTTTACGTTAGTGACAGAGAAAAGACTGAAAGTATGATATTGGTTGTGTGTTTTTAAATAAAATCTGTTTGGTTTCAGTTGTATTGTACGGAAGCCCGAAGCGGGCCATTCATACGTTCGTTTCATTAACTCTGCGTTCCCCTGAAAACGAGTCATTTCTCGTTGTGTCCTCCAGATCTCTACTTATTTATCTTATTATCTCAGGGTAACTGCATTGGTTTTCCTGCGATTTTCACAATATCTCAGGATATCAAGGCTTGTTTTGCTGCTGATAAAAAGATATTATTCTGGCAATGTAGAAAATAAATAATAGGCTGGTCACTGTGATAGGCCCGACCAGGATAGGCTAATCAGGCCAAGTTAAGCCTATTTCTGTATTTGTTTTTTTTTTGCCTTGATAACTATGGCCATACGAGATAAATAAGATGAGAGATCTGACAGGGAGTATAAATCGTATGGATGCATGTCCGCTTCGGGCTTCCTTATTATGTCTTCTGTTTACTTTTTTTTGTATAAATTCAGTTTTTAATGTTGATTCTCGATGGCAATAACAAACTTAATTTGAGCAATGTGACAATTCAGTAGTTATGTGACAGATCATGCAGAGAATTGCATAAAATGATTCCATCTGTCAGGTGTCGGGAGAAAAACACCTAATGTTCGATTTTCTTAAAGGGATAGTACACTTGAGCTACACGATTTTTGCTAGCATTAAAATCACTGTAGCTATACTCAAAGGTCTGAAAAGCATTTTCAGCCTTGCTATTTACAGCACTGTTGATTTTGGAAGCAATATAGAGGATATTTTCTTATTTCAGCATCAGTCTACCTGAATACACAAAATATGCATAAAATCCACGGTGGTCAAAGAATGACTATAGCTGTAGAGACAAAGAACATTCTTTTTTTTGTGTGTGTGCACGTTTTAGACTCCAAGCAAGTGGTAGTCTCAGAATTACATAGCCTGCCTGTGTTTAGACATCGCATCCTGCTTGACTACCTTTAGCAAAGATGTCATTTGGAACCATCATTTTTTTGCCTTCTCGGCTATAATGGTGCACCAAATATAGTCGAAAGATCGTCCACCGCCACATCTGTTCAACAAAATCAAAAGAAAAGCCACACTGCGACTTACGGAGCCCCTAAAGTCCCCAAAAGTAAAAAGCTAAAATCTTGTCCACACAGGATCATTTTTTTTTTTTTTTTTGGCACTTCAGGGGCTCCGTAGAAACTCAAGAGCAGGGATGAATGACATAATTCTCAAACTTGCAGATAACGGAGTCGATTCATGGAGACACACTGTGACTGGGTTTTTTTTTATATGAGTTCGATCTGTAATGATGGATGAGAACCAAATTCTAAAATATTTTTGGAATAAGAGCGCCAGTGAGCAATAATATCTGGTGACACTTGCAATGTTTTAGTAATGCACATGTATAATTATATTTTTGGAGGTTAAAATATATATAATATATAATCCGAAACAGCTTTTAGATCTTCTGGCAATAAAGCTCAGGATGCCAACATTCATGATTTATTATGAGACATTTTTGGAATAAACTCAACAGCTCATTCTGACACCAAAGTTCATTCCCCCCCTTTTCTAGAAAAAAAAAAATCAGTGGCAATTAAAGCAGTCAGCTCTATGATTTGATTTTGTATGAAGACTTTTATTTTTTTTATTATTTGACTGTTTGTGCCATTACACCAGGCATGACACCCCACTGTTGGTGAGATTCCCATCACTGCGTCTTAGTTTAAGTAGAAACGAATGAGACTTTACGAGGACTGTGACAAACGAGAGCCAGCGCTTGATTTTGCTTGTGTCCATCCCTCCACAGCTGCTTCTCTGCAGACATGCTATGATAAGCTATGGATCCCAACAGAGTTTTATTTTCCGACCTGTATTTAATAAACTTTGATCGGACTCAAGCCTTCTGCGTCTTTATTCTCAATTTAGTCATTTGAAATCACTTTTAAAGACTTATCTTTTACGAGGTGTGTGCGGAAGTTGTTCTTTTTCAGACTGTCATATGCAGACACTAATACTCTTTTAGTGTAATTTCACATTTTGTCCACAAGGGTGCAGCAGACAGACACAGCATAGGACGCTCCGTGATGCTGAAGGCACGTGACAAAGATCTTGACAGATCAAATGGTTGTCTTTGAGGTCTCCCGAGTTTATTTAGTTTCTGAAGGATGTGAGAGTTTCATATTCAGTACATGTCTGATTGACAACTGACCTAGTTTGGGTCTGATGCGCAGTATCTCTGATCGAGAAAAGGTTAATCTGTGATGCAATTCATTACCAATTACATTTTTCTGATACAGCCAAGTGCGATAAAGAGAAAAAATGTCATCTAATCTTTTTGTGCATAAGGAGGGCTTGGTCCATCATTAGGCTTCAAATAAAATAATAATTGGATTCATTTAGAACCAACCGCACAGTAATAAAAATCTGTTATCTTCAGTTTGGTGAGTGTGACACTATAAATGGACGTCATAAAACATGTCACAGCATGATACTTTTGAGACCAAACATGGCGTGAATTCTGAATGAATTACTAGTTTGTTTTACTTCATTAATTTACTGATGGTGCATGGCTCAGAGGTCTGGCTGAAACAGATCCACATGTCTAAACTTTTGGGTTTAGACATTTAATTTTCATAAATGAAGTATCACAGCCTCAGGTATCCTGAAATTTAGTCTCAAGTGTTAGTTTATCCCCAAAACCCGAATTCCATAATTTCCCCATTCAACTTCTACCTGTATGGCAAATGTCAACACGTCAAAATAAAGCCCCAGAGTTTGTAAATCTGGCTTCCGGCTTGCTGCTTCCTGAATTGTAGTCCCAACACCTCTAGGGGGTGATATCAAGGAAGAAGAAGAAGTCACCATACTTTACAAAACTGGTCTTTACAGTGGGGGGTATTCCTTCCATTAAATCAAAGCAGGAAAATTCCATGAATGCAAGCTGGCATGCTCAGTGTGTGTCGGGTAATGGGTAATCCAAGGTATGCCGTAGTAGGGACAAATGATAGAACAAACAATAAGAGTGGACCAGTTTACCTCTGTTTGGTAGTGGAGTGGTCTCTGAAGCGGTCACACAGGCACACTGGTGTGGGAGAGGTTAAGGTGGAAAGGAAAGACTCAACCTCTCCCACACCAGTATACCCAGAAATTCTGTCCTGCCTCTGTGCAGTGGTTACATTTTGACTGACTAAATACAATGTTTGGAGAGTTACAAACATGTTACAATTGTTAAAGGTCAGTTGGCATCAAAACAGAGAACAGAAACCTGCTAGGAAGGAAGTGAAAAGACGTAGCTAATAAACTGATGCATTAGTAAACATGCCAAGCTACGAGAGAAAAATTAGAAAGAAGAATCATGTGCCCAGTGACAAAATAAAACCTTTTTATGTAATCAAAGTAGCAGCTTTTTGTTAAAACATCTCAATATAAAAAACAACAGAAAAGGTAAAAAACAAAAATATTGTTTGTGTCAGAAATAAATCACGCACAACAGGAATAAACAAATCAATAAATGGCACTAAGTAAAAACTGAGGCAACTTAAGATCAAATCTCATTGTGCAAATGTTTGTTCAATTTGTACCAGCAGTAACCACAAATTCATTCAGACACGGTTCATGTTTAGAATTCCCTGAAGCAAAGTGCTTCACACGACATCAAAAGCATCATGAGAGTGCAATATATAAAATAATCTGATGAATCAGAATTGTTCATCACACGACATCATGAGAGTGCAATATATAAAATACAATATATAAAATAATCTGATGAATCAGAATTGTTCAGTTGAGCAGCAAAGAAGTATCCATGTTGGTTTTTGTTTAAATGTACTCCGATGGTCCTTCTTTTCAGACCGTAGGCATACCCGTAATAGAAAACATATTGTGACAGTGTAGTGTTAACATCAGTGTGGCTGTGTTGATGAAAATTTCAGTCCAGAGTTCTAATGCCATTCGATCCTGTTGTCCTGCTGCTGGAGCCACTCGAAAACTCCATATGGAATACACTGGTTCCACATCCTGGGATGAGAGGAGTTAAAACAAGAAGAAAGGTGAGAAAACAAAACAAGAAAGTATTCTGACAATGATCCAATCAAACACGGAGTTGTAATGGTTTTCTCACCTCAGAGTTTTCATTTTTTTACAGTTCCTCAGACTCGCACCCAGACTCTGTGCTCCAACATCTGTTAGCTTGTTATACTTCACGCTGTCAAACACAACGGGAAAAAGTTCAAACTTTTAACGTGTCTTCAATGTGTACTACAGTGTCTGCTGCTAGTGACAAATTCATGACAACACATCATGTTATTTACACATTTGTAACCAACAAAAAGCAGTTACCCTGTTTTCCTTAAAGGTACAATATGTATAATTTGATTTGAGTTTTACGCTAAAATATCTGAATTAATTAAAATTGACTTAGCCTATGTATTCTATTTTGTTGTGTACTTACATTTCCTCACATATTTCTAAAAGTTATCAAAGCCAGATAAATCCTTCATTTTACAGTTGTAAGGGGACGTGTCTTGTAGTGGTGGCCGCCATGACAGACAAGACATGTCTATTGTTGACGTGGAAGCACCGGATGTTACATCAAAGGCCGCTACATAAGGAAGCGGGAACTGAAAGCTTTGATTTCGCCTCTACGTCTTGCCTAGGGTCAACCCAGAGTTAATTTTCATCGTGTGGGGAGGGGTCGCACAGAGAATTACTCCCATGATTCCACACTGCAGCCTCAACATCATCTTTTATATATATTTTTTTAAATCAGAGCCCCCTGGCAGCTGAATTGACATACTGTGCGTTTAAAGATGTGTGTACTTTATACACGCAGAGTCTGATTATCAAAACACAGAAATACATGTGATTACATACTGTAAAGAAAAGTTCACTGAACAGGTGAAATAGGTAGACTTACTCGAGTTCTATGAGGGACCTCATGTGTGGGAGGATGACTGCTAAACTCTCTGCCCCTTTGTCGGAAATCACATTACTGTAGAGACTGGAACAATCAGAGGGGGGAAGAGGGAAGTGAAAACATGTAGTTAGTTAAAAAGAGCTATTTTTGATGCCGTGTAGGTATTTGTGGGTGTGGTGTGTGTTTCCATCATATACCTTAAACAGTGCAGTTTAGGCAGATCTCTCAGGGTTGGTAGCAGTTTGGTCACCCCTTGGTCTCCTATACAATTCTGTGACAGACTACAAAAAAAAGGAGAGCACGGATTACAACAAACATTAAACACATAATGATCTTACTGTGTTTACTATCAATTCATAAATCAACTTCTACCTATATTGGGTCAAATTACAACAAAAGCTATCTAACAACATCTTAAGAGCAGGTCTAAGCCATACTCTTTGTATTATTATTGACAGAAACACATATCCTCCAATGAGCAGGCTCTATGAACAGTGAAAAGGGCAAATAATTGCTTTTAACAGGCAGGAACCTCCAACAGAACCAGACTAATCTGTGTCCAGCCATTTGCCTCAACCGAGCAAGCGATGTACAATAGTTCATTTTGGATTGTAATTGAGAAATATTATCCTTTTGATATCATCCCAGTCTTGGAGGAGACGTGTACTCACTTGAGTATCTCCAGGTTACAGAGTGAGACTAAAACGTCAGCCAGTTTCTCCGCTCCTTTGTCCCCTACTTTGCTGTTCTCTAGACTGAAATAGGAGAGAGACACAATAAGCAAATGCATTGGGATGCAAAGAGATTGATGCAATGAGAGAGAACTGCAAGTAAAGGTGTGTTTATTTACTCCAAATGCTGTAGGTTTTGTAGACCGGGTAGGAGCTCCCACAATTTGGGAAGAGCCAGGGAACTCATTTCTGGGCCAAGCCTTTTGGGGAAAATAAAACAGTGTCGTCATTCATCATTATCATAGTTCTTAAATTTCAAATGAGAATATGAGATGTCAAAATTACTCACTCAAAATCCAGCTTTTGTAGCTCTTTGACAGCTGGTACTCCCTCTGATAAGATGGAAGATGATTGGCTGGAACTATGAAAAAAGACACTCTTCAGCAGCCAGACACATATAGTTTGCATGTTGGAAAGTACAACTAAGTGTGTTGGATGCACTGTGTGTATGTGGTGTTATTACCTGTCTGACAGCTTCTTTTGCATATGGATGTTCACCAGCTTAGCCAGGTGCTCTATGTGACACACCTGTGTGGCTCTCAAAGGGTGGATCTTGAACTTGGAAACTGACCCTTGTAGGAGCTCTTCCTCACCACTCTGCTCTAGCTCCTCCCATAAAGTGATGACATCAGCGATGCTTGCCCTAAGATAAACGCAAATGAAAGGTTGACATTAGCACGAATGAAATATCATAGCTCACTGATGAAGAAATACATTTTCCATATAATGGCAACTTATATTTAGTCAAGTTTTCAATTTTTGTTTCTTTGCATCATAAAAGACCTTTTTTTAAATGGTCTATGATGACGTGAAGATGTAGATGGAGGTCAAAATAACTGGCTCCTAGTTTCTAGAGCTGTGTGGTAGAGCTAGCTAAGCCTAGTATTTTCAGTATGAAGGTTGAAAAAGGTAAGACCAGTTAGCTATAACATTCTACCCTGTTAGCTCTTCAGCTAATACCTAGCACACAATATCACTTGTAATGTCACTGTTTTGAAATACTATATTTTGTGAAGTTAGCTTGCACCGCTGGAGTAAACCTCCAGAACTAAGGACTGAGAGGCCAATGTAAGCATGAATTCAGATAGCATCCAAGATTATTTTAGATTAGGAAAGGCAAAAATACCCCATAATGATGTCACTTTTTGGGGAAGGGGTTTGAAGTTGATACCAAGCAGGGTTTTTTTTAATGTGGGTTGAAACCTGTACCTGTATGTGTTGATGTTGTTGAGCGCCACCAGAGCTCTCAGCCCAGAAAGCTGTAACACAGAATCCTCCAGATCTAAAGAGAAACTTCTCCCTTCAGATCTACCCCTATCCAGAACGTTCTGCACGGTGAACACGTCCGATGGGTTGAGTGGAACTCCATGAAATGTAACCACTTCTGGAAGATTCACTGCAAGGTGAGCAACTAATGTCGTGCTGGCAATGTCCACGTTACCATCACTACAGGTAAAACTTGCTTCATAAACATGGTGACAAGCTTCTAGCACCTGGGCAGGGCTCAGGTCATCATGAGAGAGGCTTTCAAGGTGTGTTCTTAATAAAGCCTGCTTGCTGTTCACAATATCTCGTGAAGCTGTGTCAGTGTATGAGTGAAGTCTCTGTAGCTCTGTCCGGTTGTTAAACAGAAGCCCAACTGTAAACCGTTGCGCTAGCTCAAGCTCCTCTCTGTGAGATCGTCGACGCCACTTTGGACCAGATTGGAAAGGTAGGTTCTGCTGAAAAATGCGGTCCGTTACAGTCCTAGTGAAAGAGAAAGAGAGAAAGACAAAAAGAAACAAAAAGTGTAAGACATTGAAACTGAAAGACAAACTTTGCCTTGAAGAGTTCAGGCAAGTTAGGCTGTTTCATTTTTAATCTCACATGGGGCATATCATTCTTTTTTCAAGCTTAATCACTTCTATATAGCAAATGCTTCATTTCTATTACTAGTCAATAGTCGAGACACTTTTACCTTGACAGAGACAAATGAACTCCTGCCAAGTAACTCTGCAGGAAAGGATTTGCCCAGAACAGGATGAGATCGTCAAGGGCAACAGAGCCACCACTTTCTGTTCTTCTTCTGTTTTCCATCTTTTCCCCTTTTTTTTCACCTCTTGATTTTTCCTCTCTTTCCTCACTTGAGACAACTTGCCTCCTCCTCAGGTGGTAAGAGAGGAAGAGCCCAGTCCTGTGGCCTAATGCCCTCAGTTTGTCAGATATGGTCCGCCCTGCTGGGAGGATGGAAGAGTTTGCTTTGACCCCCTCCCAAGCTAAAGAACTCAACTGGGTCAGCAACTCTCTCTTCTCTCTTCTATTAGCATCCCTTCCAACACCACTCACGTCCTCTCCATCAACTTCCTCCTTTTTCTTCTGTTTTGTTGCCTTTCTTGCTGGTTGGGTGCGAGAGCGAGTGCGAACTTGTGATCTGGGTTTTGTCCTAGAGTGGGAACTACTTGAGGATGTGTTTGGGATTCTTCAACCGATGGCACAGATATTTCTGTTTGAACTTCAGTCTTTAAATGAGTGATCCCATTGTCCCTTTCCAATTTCTGACATAGCACTTGATGGCAGAGTCCAGTTAAAGTTCTGGGTAGTTCGGCCAAGCTTTTGGCCTGTTCTAAAACCAAGCAGGCCAACCGGCATAGTCCCGGGTTCCAACAGAGGAGATGCAGAAAGCTTGATTTTTTTAAGTAGTCCAAAGCAGATTCTCTTAGGGCAGGATCTGTGAAGTACCGGGACAAATATGTCTCTACATCTTTGGGGTTGAAGCCATACATCTCCACAAGGCTGTCCGTTCGTCTGAGTAACTGGTTGGCGGTGCCTCTTGGTCGGGTTGAAAGAAGAAGAGTACAGCCTGGAAGAAGAACCCTCTGGAGGATGGCAGAGTATAACTGTCTTATTGTGTAGATCTGTCCATTGGTGTCTTTCTGCAATGATGTCATCAAGTCCTTTTCCTGAGTCTGGAGTAAAGTTTCATAGTCCCGCACCTCATCAAACCCATCAAATATGATGAGCACTCTCTTAGAAGCAGCAAGTATTTGGGTGTACACTGCCTCAGGGTCCATGCAGGAAGGGGCAAAGGAGGAGGAGTTCAACAAGAGAGTCTGAAGGCTATGGTTGGGCTCCTTTAGAGTTAGCGCTTTACCATCTAACAAGAAGACAAAGTCAAACTGTGGGATGCAGCCTCTGGACCAGTCAAGACACAGTTTCCTGATCAGGGTTGTTTTTCCCATGCCAGTATTGCCAAGTAGCAATATGTAGCATTTGTTTCCATTTAAGCCTTCGAAGATCTGAGTGGAAAAGGACAAACATAGGTTTTACTAAGTTATATCCAATGACTTCGACAATGTACTGTATTTCAACATCTATTAGTAATATAAGTAAATCACTAGATGAACAAAAAAAGTTAACTTTTACCTGACTACAACCCATCAAGCTTTTTCTCTGATCCATGTTTCCAATGAGGACCATTTCCTTGTCCAGGGACTTGTTTGTATTTTTTCCAGAACAAAGAATCTCTCTCTGACTCACTTTCACATCCACATAATGGGAGGTCAGGCTAAGGCCCTCTTCCATAGCCTGGCAGGTTTGGTTCATGTGGGATTTGGCTTCCTGAATGTACTCTCTTACAGTCTCTGAAATCAAATGGAATTGAATGAAAAACAGCTTCTCTACAATTCATACTTTCGGGAAGGAGATAACAGCAAAGGAGTGGTAACTTACCAGGAATTTCAAGGACAGGAGGTGATTGTAGTTGACTTCCTTCCTTGCAGTTAGACAAGTTGCAGTTAGAAGACTCTGAAATTACATTTGTTTCCATGGTAATTACTTGGCAGGGTAATTCATGCACCAGGATATTGAAAGGTGGCTGGTAATGATACACACCATTGCTGGGAGTGACGGGTGAAGCAACAGGGGAAGACATGGCTTTGCTTGCTGTGTCCGACAGAGATCCTGGTGGGGATGAGCTCATTTGGACTGGTACTACAGCACCGTCCACTACAAAGACGAGGGAAGAAAAATTGTGAACCCCCCTTTTTTTTTTTTTTACACCCAATCAGTTGTTGTGAGGAGTGGTTGCCATGTTGTTGCTTGACAGGCAGAACTAAAACTTAATATGTGGAACCAAAAAGTACTGTACACAAGCATGAGCTCTCACCTGGAGAGAGGGGTGGCAATTTACGTTTGCAGGGTGGTGAAGTAGCTGGAACTGCATGGAAATATTGGTTAGTGGCTTTTCATGGTAGCTCAAACCAAATATTTGTTCATTTCCTTAATACAAACACATGGATTTGCCACATTTGGAAATGTTTAGATAATTTAAAAAAAGGGACCAAGGATTGACACCTGGGGAATTGAGGATCAATAATTACCAGGTTGACCATTGAGAGTGTATTGTGTATACTTTACTCACCAAATACGTAAGTTGGGGTAGCAGCTGTATTGGAGATAGGCAGTCCTATAACTGGAGGTGAGAGACTCAGTGTCTGAACTACATGGTACCTAGGAGCCTCTGGGATGGTGATAAAGCGAATGGAAGGTTGGAGATGGAGGACTCTCTGTGGAGTGGTGGAGTGACTGGCTAACTTTGGAGAACTGGGCTCTGATCCTGGGTCAGCGCCAGGTGGACAAATAATGACAAAATTCCAATTATTTTTGCAGACAAGACCACTTTAAACATAGACTATAAAACATGCACATAGTGACATCAACCAAGAGGCATCGTGAAGACAAACAATGCAAATGTCTGAATGTTTTTGGTTTCTTAAAATCAAAGCTATGCATAATACACAAATGTGAACCCTGTACAGTGTCTGCCAATAGTGAAATTAACTATTGAAACCAAATGTGTTAGTTGTACCAGTGTAAACATGTTTAATGTTTAACGTTCCTCCAGTGGATGCTTGAGGAACTGCAGTTCTTTGCACTTCTCCATTGACTTTGATTTTCAACACTAAAGGTTGCAGCGTGGGATTAGCGGGTAAAACAAGCTCATATTCAAGTTTACAACAATATTAAAAGGGTTTAAGTGAAGCATATTTAGAGCCATGACTTAGACTTTAAAACTTATCAACACTTTATTTGACAAGAGCTTTCATCTTTCTGAGAGCTAAATCAGATTTCTGAAAGCTTCAAACTGATCTGAGGATGTTGCTTGAGGAAAAGAAAAGACAAAAACAAGCTTACCTTGGCTGACAGTTGACTCAGTCTCTACCGCTTTGGTTTTTGGTCGACCTGAAAGAAATGAAGGAACATCATTAAAAAATATTTTTCATTGAGTATTGGTATGTTACATTTGAAAAGCCGCTTTAAAATTGAGCCAGATGTTGCCTTTCACATAAAGGAATGATCTTCCCCACAGAGAGACAAAAAGCGTATTCATTAAACAACTGCATTGGAATGGTACCCAGTATTGACCAAAAACAAAGCTCAGCTCTCTGACCATTTATTAGTTTTGAAAAATATATATCAACATTTGGTCTATGGCCACATTTCCTGAGCTATTTCATCTGATATTTTAACATAACAGTATGTTAGCATGTTTTTAGCTCATTAACCATGAATTAGCATCTTAGCATTTTCCTGAAAAAGTGTTTCCTTTCTCTTAAGCTGTATTTTTCATCTGTTCCATTGGGTTTTCTTTATTCCTGTACAATATAATGAATACAGACTTTTGAAACTTTTTAGATTTTTCTATTTCTATTGAAATGTTTTTAAAGCCTGTAACTGCATGCTGCAGGATAAGCATCAGACAAAGTAATTTACTGCACACTGTAGATAGGTCACCTGCTGCTCTTTGCCTTTTTGGCCTGGATGGCGTGTTTTCATCAGTGCGCCTTTGTATCCTTGAAACTGTTGAGTAAAAATAAAAATACATTAAAACACATAATCTGATGCGCTAGTTGAATCTTGCAGAATGTGGCAGCTTCAATCCTAAATGAAGTTTCATACAACAATAGGGCGATCAGGACAGTGTTTAGTTAGGAGGTTGTAGTAAGCGAAAGGTGTTCTACCCCTTTGTCTTTTTCTCCTGTGATTAGTTTTGTCTGTTAGTTTGTCCTCCTGTCTCTGCTGGGGTCCGTCAGGGCTCGGTGGGTCTGTTGGCTTTCCAACGTCACCTGAAGTGTGTGAAAGAGGAAGTAAAAAAAGTCAGTGAAGCAATACGCAAACACAGCTTCTAAGAAATGTCGCTGTTATTCTCAAGAATGTGAATCATGTTTTTACAAACATTTTGAGTATTAGAAAAAGGAAATGGCAGACTGAATAAAATTTAAAAAACACAAGGGCGGCAGTGTTATTTAGAGAGAAAGCTGTTTCGTAACCTTGTGTTCTGTTGGCACTGATTTTACTTCCCTGTGTTTTTTTTAATTAATCAAATGTTATTATTAAAGCTCCTGTGAGGAGATTTTGACTGTTCATTAAAAAGTCTGAAATTAATGTAGATGCCTAAATATAACCTGCAAAAAGCAAATGAGGCAATCAGTGACACGATTGACTTTTTCTTAATTGTTATTTTTAGTTTTTTTTTTAGGGTAGGAGTCAGACGATGTGATTCACGACAGGCTGTCACATTTTTTAAATGTTTTCATGCCAAAGACTCATTGTGAGTAACACATTAGAAATTCAAAACAAAGAAGGATGAATATTTCTTTTTAGAAAACACAGCTTTAGCATATACAGGGAGGAGACGAATCATTCTCTTTGTCCACTGGGGTCGGCAAAAAATCCAAAGGTTCCTCATAGTAGCTTTAAAAAACATAGTATTACATCTTTAACCCTGCTCTTTGATAAGAAAATGTCACCTATAGACTAAGAAAAATAAAGGTTGGTATCCTAAGAGTGAAGCTACTTTCATTTGGGATCAACTCAGGTCACATAAGATAAGATTAACACACCTGAATATCTGATACAGGTTTATGTCTGGGTCCATGCTTTTGATGTAGTTTTTTTCCCATCATTACCTGTTGCTTGTAAGATGTTGTAAACTCAAAAGAAGAAATACTTACTAAAGGTATTTAGTTCATCAGCATAGTTGAACCATGGATCGCCGAAGAGCACATCTGGGTCTAGGGAAGACAATGAATAAATTGGATGAGACCACCTTTGTGTTCATTATGAATACTGGTATGTTTATATTTTTGCGTAAGTCATTATAACGTACTGCACACTGTAAATAAAAAAAAAACAAGCTGTCTGAGGTTTGGCTGTTTCTTACCGATCGTCTTCAGGCAGTCCTCATTTAGGTATTCAGATAAATCATCTAAAACACAGAAGAAGAAAAAGATGTGCCTTTCTGTCCTTTAAATGTTCTAGTAACAGTGTAAATGATTGGACTGCTCTCCATATCCACTACAAAGTGTAACTGCAGTAGATGTAATAAGTGGTAACATTTAGTCAGCATGAAACGCAACCTTGAGCTTGTCCTGAATCTGGAAGGAAAAGTGGTCAACTTTGATTGACAAAAAAAGTCTTAAGCTCTATTCTTCTTTCTTACAAAAATAGTCAGCGATTAAAGAGATCTTTACCCCTAAAAGGCAATATACATGTGATGTTACTGATTTTTTGGGGGGGACAAAGAACATCCTATTAAGCTCCTAAAACTTAAACATGTAATTAAACACGAACCTGGAAGCTCTCCCAAATCAGGACAGAGGAACGGGTCCTGTTCCAATTCCTGCATCATGGTACCTGACAACACACACATAGAATGAATAAATTCAAAGAGAAGTGAAGATAGTGATGCATTGAAAGATTTGCATGTTATGTTCCTAGTCTAAGTTTGAACATTTCCTCATTTTCCAATCCTAAAGTGCTTTCACAAGTTTTTCACACTTGAACAAAACTCCTGAAAAACTCCTGGGTCCTCATTTAAGCCCACCAGTGCGTGGAAAGTGTTCTTATTTCTGTCTTATGAATCAAATGTAGAATGTGAAGGAACAACAGTCTCACGCACATCAAAAAGTGATCAGTGTTGATACATGTAACCAGCAGGCTCGTTCACGTTCGGGGACAATTGCTTGCAGAAACGCCTCCAATAAACAGCATGTGGTAATAACACGCTCATTTAAAAAACATGTGAATAAATGTATCTCCATGGAATGATAGAAAAGAACAAAGAGGAGGATCTTCATAGCAAACGAAATGGAAGTAGGATGAGGTTGAATAAACGGTTTTAAAAAAAAAGAAGAAAAAACGGTAGTAACTTTCGCGCTTAGCAGACCAAAAATATTATTTGCTCGTTCCTTAATTGGGGAAGTTACGAAAAAAGAAATCCTGCTGCATGGAAGGTGACAAATGCTGTACACATACAGTAGAATTGATATAAAGACAAGTATTCTCTCCTGAGACGAGACATCTCCTAAAACAAGAACAAAACATTAGGGACAACGAAAATAGCAAAAATATTCCTTCCACCTATATCAAACAGCTGACATGAATCACTCATCGGGATAATGCTAATAGCTTTCTAAAAATGCTTACAGCTAGTTAAAAGATGACACACAGCCGTGCTAATGCTAACTTAACAATGAAAAATAATTGTAATGCAAGCTAAGGCGACATAATAATCAAGGCTTGCAAAACAAACACTACTCCATTTTCTGCATCTTAGTATCTGTGGTTGTGGTTTTATTCAGTGTTAAGGCGACATTCTTTACACCCATGAACATGTTTCAGTTTTGTTCTCACCTCTCTCAGTAACAGTTTTTGTCCTGTCTTGTACTCCTACCGTATTTTCTTTAGCTTTTTATCTCTATGAATTAAGGCTGCACAATGTTTCATGTTTCAACAAGAGTTGTGTTCAAAAGTGAAACTAAGTGCTGGCCTAACTGGGAGTTTACCTCTTGTACATAATGTCATTAAACAATATATGAATGGCTTTGTGTCATTATGAAGCGCGCTTAGTTAATGAGAAAGGCAGGCCCGAAACAAATAAAATAACTTGTTAATTTTATGGTTCACAAGGAGAAAGGAAGTGATGATTGTATTGGCATGGCTACCCTTCTAAATCATTTTGCAGTAGTTGGTGAGATCACAGCTTTTTAAACACATTCTATTCTTCACACTTTTCTTCCTCCAGTGATCCATTTGAATGTTCATTTATTTCTTCTTTTTTTTATTTTTTTACTTCTGTCTATTTTATCCTTGGCCAACACTAGGGTAAGGGTTATGGGTTATTACTATTTAACATTAGAATAATGATATGAAGTGTGATAACAAATACTGAAGAGTCCACATTACCTTTAGCAGTTAGCTGCAGCCAAAATAAATTAAGCAATTTTTTTTATTTCTCTGTGGGTAGCTGATAGCTAGCTTGAGTTTCATCTTACTGCATGACAATGGTGAGAGCATCTTACATAGACACATGCAGAGTTAGAGAGCAGGTTGAAAGGATACATTTAGGACAGTATTAACTGCGATAACTTCAGACATTCAGATTGCGATAACAATGAAATTGTGATTTATTGTGCAGCCCTAGGATGGTGCACTCTAAGTCAGTCGTTGGGACTTTCACCTCATGCCTAACCCTAATTTTTTAATGGTGTAAGACTGGTTTCAAAGTTCTGCTGCTGAGACTGCCCAGGATACACCTTAAGATGCTATCATTTTTACCTAAGTCCTAGTATTTCTATAAACCTATAACAACAAACCATCTCCAACATAATGGGGGGGAAAAAAGAGGTCAAACTTTTAAGAAGGGACACCTTCAATGCTGCTCCCAACGTCCCATGGAAATGCTTGTCTTTATGACTCAAACCCCGGCACAATAAAACACTAAATTGTCTGGCTATTCAGCTTGGCTGTAGGTAGACAAAACAAGCTGTCTTTCAGACCACAAAGGTTTCAGGGGTGTGCTATAACTGAAAAGACGGACATCTGTGCTTTTAGGTGCTAAGAGTTGAAACAAGACCCACAAATAGGTGCCAATTCACCACTTTTGTAATGTTCGAGATATATAGATTCGGGTTCCAGATGGCAGTATCAGACTTCCGCTCCTGTGCGTGATATATTACATCCGCTCAGGTTTTAACGTGGCAGTAGGCACGGCTATTGCTGCAGGTTTTTTTCTCTGTAGATCCGCGGCTGCTTGGGCCGATCAGGTGTCGCACTTTAAATAACTGCCTCTATTGTGCTACAGTTAAACCACATTTCAGCCAGACATAACACACTCCCTGATTTAGTCAAACTCAGCAGAACTCTTGAACTAATACACAAATCACAAGCCGGCTGCATATAGCATGGACTTCCAACTCAGATCAAAACTTGAAATGACTCACCAATTGGGTATGAATCAATAAATCTTGACTGTTTGCCTCACTATCCAAGAGTAGACGCTGTTTCTTATAACACCCAACCTATTGTCTGCACGTGTTGTAGAAACAAGTGTAAAGATTTAGGTTGTAGCCTTTGTGGTATACTTCTTGGTGTTTTCCTTGACATGCAAGTCTGACAGGGCCAGGCCAGAATCGAATAGAAATAGAAATAACTTTTCCCATTGTAAGATATGTCAATCAATGAATCAATCAATGTCTGATAAAGAGAATTAAACTGTTATACATGTATCCTGATTTTAAATAGTTTTAAGGGGGTTTAACATTCCTGGACTGATAACAATGCAAAACAAAAACTTTCTATGAGGAACTTACTCATGTTGTTATCACAGTTACATCTAAAATAACAGCACAGATACATGATCAAGGGGGACTAGATATAAGCTATACCAAGCATAAGCAAACCCTCACATTGTGCTTTGTTCTGAATGAAAGGGGAAATCATTTGTTGCTGCTACATGTGCCCCTCACCACGCCCATCACAGTGCGTGTTTGTTGTTGCAAAAGCAACGACATGAAATCACTTTCTCTTCCTCCGTTAGCTGGAAGACCCCTTAAATACCCTGATTTCACCAAACAGCTCATACAACGACCTCAGATGTCGCTTAGTCAGTAACCGTAGGGGATATTAATAGTTAGACCCATATAAACCACATACAAATAGGCGCGTAATGGAGTCTAGTCCACTTTTTGCGCGTCGAAGTTTGGAGCGCACATTCACACAAACCACTACTTATAGAAGAAGCTTTACAAAGCTATTATTCTAATATGTATTATTATACCACATGAGCTTTTACCCCTAAAATATCAAAGATAATCAACGCGCAGAGGCAAAAGAGCTTTTAAGAAAATTTGTTTATGCAGATTTTTGAATGATGTATATTTTAAAAGCCAATCCTAGACCATAACGCGTTTTAAAAAAAAAACTAAAATCATCCAAAAATGTTGAAGAAAAACTACAAACAAAGCGCCATATTTTTTATGCTTGCGCATTTTAGATGAACGCGCACATGCCACCAAAGCAAAGCAAGGATTACATTTACCTGCCTGGCCTGTCGCAGTGGAAGAAGCGAGGAACATGGAGAATACCTTTTTTTTGAGTGTATCCCTGTGCGTTAGTCTCTCATCAATGTAAAGAACATCAGCCTCTGCGTGGGACCTCAGATGACCTGATGGCAGCCTCCTGTCAGTGCGCGAACCTACTCCTTTGTACAACAAAGCTGCAGCTTCTTCTACTTTCACTTTGCACCAGCGGTGTATGTGGCTTATTGGGGCTGTATTTATGTCTTAATGGTGGGCAGGAGCAGCGTGTTTCTGAACATCATAGTTTCTGTTTAGATGTTTAATATTATATTCAGAAGTTTTTACAAAAGTTGCACATCATTGTTCTTTAAATGATGACCCACAAAACAGGATAACCTAGAGGTTGTTATATTATTAATGTTGCTGTGATTGACCAAATTCAAAGCCTTAAAGTATTTACCTTTCTATACTTTATGTCATTAACCACATTTTAAACAAATGAAGTGATGTCACTGTCAGTGATCTCTTCCATGTATAATAAACTGCTGGCAAAGTTTTACCAGGGACAGAATAAATAATTCACACATGTCCTGTTTTAATCCCATGAGCGCTCTGGACACTAAACATTTACCTGTAGTGAAATTATCTATTCCTGCATCTCCAGTAAATATGTGACCAACATATAATTCTTAAAGACCCCTGACTCCCAAACTATCTCTGGTAAAGCCTATCCTTGCATAAAAGTCACCTGATTACAAATCCTATTTTACCTCTCTGCTAGAAATCAAATGCTTTTTTACTCTTTTAAAGATTTAACTGAATTTAGGAATGTATCCCAGCTTTCTATGGATATTTGTGTTATTATTATTATTATTGCTACAAATTCTCATTTGGGGTTCTGCTTCTTCCTTCATTTCTCTTATCTCGGAGGTTTCTCCGTTTCCTGAGATTGAGTTTACAGACAAATGTTACACTTTTATTTTTTTAGCACTGTTTTTCCCAGCGTAGTGCCTTCAGTTGTTCTGTAGTTTATTTTTCAAAGTGCCTGATGTTGCTCTATCAGGGAAATTAGAAAGCCTGCATTGCTCAAAATAACTCACACTGGAAATCAACGGCACAACCACGGTGTGGACAAGGATGTCTGGCAAGTTTCGGCTGTCGTGGAAAGTACCTGCCCTACCTGTTCATCTGTTGCCAATCAGTTAATCTGTGCCACAGGTTTATGCCCCATGTAACCATCAACTGATATTACCTGTTGGTCTACTTATTACATAACACTTGCCAAGTTCTGAATGTGCATTAAAGTCAAGCCTTTGTAATAAGTCATTCCACTGTCTGTTCCACTGCACCAAGGAATGTTTTGGGAACAAAAAAAACCCATTCCTGTCGTCTGCCATTGCTATTTACAGTGACTGTAGGTTTCCCACATCCATCAAGTTTTCTTCAACCAACACAACAAACATCAACCTCAAACTCAGGCTTTACCAGATTTCCGTGGGGTCCAAATGATTGTGCCCTCACATTATCCCACATTGCATCATGGAAAGTTATGTACAGCCAAAGGTCAGTACAAACCATAATGCATTGCAGGATAAAACCCCCAGTTAGGATTTAAAAAAAAGGTGCAAATAATATGAGCCTAAAAGGGTTTGAATGTTTTTTTTTCATTTAAAAGATGAGCTCACTGTACAGCCCTTTACATTTAAGTCTCAATTTACCGAGTCAGGAGTGATGAACCATCACGATTTTGGACACAACCCCAGTGAATGACGATCCAATGGATCACTGATGTACTGTATGTAAACTCAAACTGGGTATAATATCCACGGCAACAGAGAAATACAACAGACGTCAACCTTAAGTATACTTACCCCGAATTAACAACTTTGCCTATCTATGGCAATGTCCTCTAGCTGGTTTTTCAAAGCCTTTATGTTTTTGTTTTAATAACAACGATTAAACATTAATGTCCTCTAAATAGATGAGCCACAACATGTCTTTGTTAGTGTTGGTTACTCCCACTTATCTTGTTTTTTAAGGCCTCTGAGTGACTCAAAATGAAACTGAAACTAAGGTACACCCAATTTTCCAACCCTTCCCAAAATAATACCATAGTTACAGTATCTTTTCTACTGGGGGCAGAACTGACTTTTTTGGAGGAAGGCATTAGGGAAACAGAAAGTAAAGGGGGTCTTGGATGGGAAATACATTTGTTTCATGGTAATGCCCATGCTACAAAGAAATCAGTGCCAATCAGACATTCACATTACCCCAGTAAATCATTGAGGAGACACAGACGAGGCAGTAGGGACGGTAAAAGGACAAAACCAAAAGGGGGCATGATATTAAGTGTAAACTTACCCCAGTGTGGATCAACCAAGACTCCCTCCGCTTTATTCTCATCCAAGTCTGTTTTGCCATAGTTGCCACACATCTTTGCACCGTAAGAAGTCTTGGAAAATGTTTCTGTGCTATCTATTACACCTAATTGCATGCTTGGATTTGCATGAGAGTTCAATGACCTATCTAGAGCGTCACTGCATTTGTCTTCAGGTGTACAGAGAGAACGATGTGGAATGATGCTTTGTTGGTAACTTGGCAAACAGAGAAATCCCTCTGGCGTTTCTGTCCTTTCAGCCTCTGAGGAGACATTAAGAGCATCCTCCAGTCTGTCTGTGGTGTTACGTTTTGTGTCTGCAGATACTCTCACAGCTGAAGGATGTCCCAATGCCCCAGAGATATCCAGATCATTTGGGTTCCACCCAGCTCTTCTGACGCTTTCAGAGAAACAGAGGCCTCCTGTGAGGCTTTTGAGCTCCTCTTCTGTGCATAAAAAGTGTTCACCATAAAAATCAAGTGTCTTGCATGCAATGGAAAGCTCAGTTTCCTCTTCCATATTCAACAAAGGGCACCGTGCTTCACCGCCTGTCTCTTTGTTTTCACGTGATTCCCACCCAATAGTCGTACAAGGGTCCAGGGGCAGCAACCGCCTCCGTCCTTGGTCCCAGTGTTGCCACAGTGGCACAGCTATCCTCCTGGCAGCCTGCTCCAGCTGCTCTAACCACTCCTTCTTCTCGTCCACCAAATTCCCCTCATTAATTCTAACACTATCACTGACCAGTTCCTGTGTTGATTTTGAACCACTTGGCAGTTCAGTCAATTCATCATCTAAGCTGCATCGGCAGTCTTGATCAATGGGTGCCAAAATGAGTCCGTGATTGAGTTGGAATTTGTTGTATAATGGATGAAATTGAAGCCCAGACCTTGTGTTGACAGGTGATGACTCGGATGTTGTCTGGTTACAGGTAGATTCTGTACACTTTAACGTCCCGTATTTCCTCTCCTGGCTGAGTTGGTCTTGATTGAGGGGCCAGTTGTTGGTGCATCTTTGAGAATGACTTCGATCAGCTCGCAGTCTGTTGGCTGTTCCGCTCTCAGTAAGTCGGTGCAGGTTAAAGCTCTTGCCGTAGGCCTCCGAGATGATCCGCTCCTTCACCAAACCCTCGAGCAGAGCTTGGATCTCAGCAGGAGAAGCCCAGGTCAGAGCCAGACGCACTCTGTCTAGAACTTCCTCAAACTGGGCCATGGCGACAACTTCTTTTCCCCGTACAATGATGAGCAGCAATAGAGGTTTCAGTGGATATGAATTGGCTTTAAGTTGGTTTTCTTTTGAGACACACGATGATTTTTGCTCGGGAGGCGTTCTCATTAAAGAGGGAGGAGTTTGTATGGTTGAGGGAAGTTCTGTATTGAATAAGTCATGCAGTTTTTTTTAATGTGGGAATGTATATTTGAGACTTCGAAGGTCTGGTTGCAGGAGAGTCATTAAAAGGAAGTGAAGATCCAAAATGATTATGCAAGATGATGACATGGAAAGCATTTTATTTTCAATTTCTGGGAACCCCCCCAGAATACTTGAATTAATCTTCCTAATAAATCACATCTGCTATTAAAGAGTTTAAATTTGTATTAGTGTTGTCTAATGCTACCATATATTTGGTTACTTTTTGTTCATTGAAGAAGTCTACAAGGAACAACAACCAACACTGAGTGTGGTATCACGTCTGACGAGAACTGAAAAAACACAATTTAAACACATGATGGTACATACCAACAGATCATCAATCCAATGCTTATTTTAGTTTTCACCAAAGTTTTATAGTATTGATCGTCAGCAACTGATGACGTTCAACATTTTTGGAAAATATATGAACAAAAAAGGCTTTATGAGGAGTTTTTCTCCACTGACTAAGTGATTCTTTTCTTTGTTATGCAGGATATAACACTGAAGGAAAAAAAAAAGTTTTATTTCCTTATAAAAACCCCTCCAAACATTTGCCCTAAATATGTTATTCGTAGAAATGCCAAGAATGTAATCTCTCCCACTAGATTCCTTGATAATTCTTGTTGTCTTAATTGTTACATAACCACTGATGAATATCTATCTGACATGACTTGTGTTTTTTTTTTTTCCCAAATAAAAGACCAAAGGTTACTTTAGCCGTCTGAAACAGTTAGCTGACTTCCTTTCTCCCCCTCTGATGTAAATTTTGGTATTTCCTGTATTTTCCCAAAGAATTGGCAACCAAATGAAAAGCACTGTTACCTTTACCTCTCCTCATTTTTAGGATCGAAACTGGTTTGGCTAAACACTGCATGCTCTAACTGACACGCGCCATATTCACCATGCTGCACTTGATTTGTAGCACAACAGCCACAGGCCCTGCACCACGGCACAGGTAGTCTGCAAAGTCCAAGATTGTTGGTTGTTGAAGTATAGGATCAAGGTTTGATAACTTCCTGGTGATCATTTGAGTTTAAAGGCAGGTTGGTCATTTTCAAAAAACAGCATGATTTTGAAAGTAGCATTCCCTCAGTGCGCCGTCTTCACCCCCTCTCCCTCCCCCCTCGCTAACACGGCGTAGTCTCATGTCTCATTCAGCGGTAAGTAAACTCACAGTATAAACTCTGATATCGGTGAAGCGCTTTGAGTGTAGGCTAGTGCACGCAAGGGGTACGAGTAGAGAGACAGGGAGGCGTGATTGGTTCATCAGATTGGTACCTGCTGGCAGACATTGGTTTAAGTTTCTACAGGCTTACAACTGCTACAGATGATGGATTTTCTTTGTTCCTTTTTCAGAGCACATGAGTTATTAATGTCTGTCAGGACCTAAAGACAATTTCAAGCAAAATCTTTAAAAAAGTGTATCTGGAGAAAACCCTGCCCTTAAGGGTATAAAACACTGCTACTTTGACAAACCCCTTTCTTTATAACGCAGCACAAGTAGATTTGAATATTGTTGCATATTAAAAACAATCTGATGCGCTATTGTCACTGTTTTTGATTAGGAAGAACCCACTTTTCTTTTTACGTTACATAAAAAATACTAAAATATAGAGGGCTAAAATACAAATATAGATCAGTAGCCTATCAGGGACAGTACCTTTACTCTTTGGTCTTTAAGTCTGCTTGTGTTCGATGAATGACACTAACTGTCTGAAACTGAATGGCCTCTACAGTCCTAAAATTAGAACATGTTCTAAGTGGAAGCTACAGTGTTGTATGTGAGAAACACACTATCTGTGTGGGTCTGGCTGTTGATTGTCTGTTAGCAGGATGCAGATGCAGTTTCACATGTGTTTTTTTAGTGAGCCCTGAAGGGACTATGAATAGAAAAAGTACACGAGGACATCGCGACAACAACCTTGTTTAACTCTTTTCACATTACTAAAAGTAAAACTCTTCTGATGGCTAGAATCATTATGAGTGATCAATGTTGTTGGCATACACATGAAGTGAAGGTTAAACATTTGAGACGAGGTCACCTGGCGTAATATCTAAATGGATAAACAAATACAATTAGAGGATCATGTATGCTACATGCTCGGTACTTTTCATAGAAAATACATAGGTTTGATATTTGGTCATTTATTTTACCAATCGGTGAGTTACAAAAGTCTGTGTGTATTTAAAATCAATTGTTCAGAAAATATTTATCATCAACATCTCAAACTGCTACTTCTAATCAGAAGCTGACAACAGAGAGGAATCATTCACAGGGGGTGTTGTTTCTGACATATACGTACAAACAATTAATGCAGACAATGTGAAGTTACCAATGGTTGTGCCATTTTGTCTGTCCCCATCCAGTTTTTTTTTTTGAGCCGGAAGAACCACATTGGTGCAAGAAGGTCCATGTTGGAGTGGTAGTTGGAAAACATTACTTCTAAAGCGTAGGATATCGCTATCGAAGTCAGCATGGAATACCCCCCCATTCATATCAACTGTGGTTTTAACTGTAATGCCAATTTTGGCACGAGTACTTTGAAGAAAATTGAACAGCCAACTCCTTTGATAGTCTTTAGGTACAACCAAATGTGGAACTTAAATGTTAGACGTTACTTTCATAAACTAGTACAGCTAGATATACTAGATGATGAGAGAGAGCGATAACTATAGCCCATCAGCATAATACTCTTTATTTTTAATAGCTTTTATTAGGAAAACATATTCCAGAGCTGCAGCAGAATAATTCCCTGCAATGCAACATCCGACCAATTTACCAAAAACAAGCTGCTGCCTATCAAGACATACAGTCAAGGTGTCAAGATACCTCTGGCAGACTTGGGTGGATGTTGCATTTTGTGCGTTTCTTGTTTTTTTTATTTTTTATTTCTACCACTCTCTCCTCAGGCGATCTCGCTCAGAGTTCTGATTCAGCTTCAGAGTGGGTTCAGGTGGTTCTCTGCTCCTCCATCACACGGTTGGCACAGTAGTCCTGAATACCTGGCGGAGGACAGCGGAGAGGAATGTTTAGGTAAAGATTACAGTAAAGATCTTTGTGTGTGTTTTTGCTTTCATTATCTGCCTGCAAAAGCTGTAAGTGAATCATCTGATACCTAAACCGCATTTGATTATTCGACTTTTCCTGCTGTAGATATCAAATTTCGATCTTTCGTTCTTCCTCTTTGGCCGACTCTGCTTCCCATTTGTAAAGCGATCACTTCTCCTTTCATTACGTTCAATAGAGAATTGAGATAAACCATGGAGTCATCAAAAATCATGAGGGATTTCACTGGAACGCAAAAAAATAAACCGCCTGTTTGCGCCCGACTTCCTTACATTGGAAAGTTACAAAACCGGAAAAGGGTGTACTGAAGACGATGAGAGGCTGTCAAAACAGAACCTCTAAGACGCTGCAGCATGTTTACGTGTGCGTGTTTTGCAGGCATTACTGGACACACTCACTCTGCACAATCCTCTGGTAGGCCTGAGCGGCAGGAGAGTCCGGCACTTCACTGAGGAAAGACTTGCCCTCGTCGCAGCTTCGTGCGATCCTGGGGTCGAGCGGCACCTTCCCTAAAAGCGGTAGATTCAAATCCTGGCACATTTTCTCAGCGCCCCCGCTGGTGGGAGGGAAGATCTGCGACGTGTTCTGCAAGAAAGATGGACAGAGAAGGATCCAAGTTACATATGCATGCATTTTCCTGATGTATGGACCCTGAATGGGTTGTGGTGAGAATCATTACACATGTTGAGCTGAAATGTGGTCAGCGTCATCAACATAGTGTTATTTCTGATTTCATTGAACAAACTCAAATATGTTTACTGAGTTCAGAAAGCTTATTCTACAAAAATGTATTGATTAAATCTCTACACCCAGTTTGTCATGCCGTGATTGTGTTTGCGAACGTGCATGTCTGCCCTTCTGTGTACATCACCGTTAATGACCTTGCATTTAGGACAAACGAAGCCGCTCATGTTCTCCACCACTCCGATGATCGGCAGCTTGACCTTCTGACAGAACCTGATCTCCTTTCGCACGTCCTGCAACGAAACCTCCTGCAGGGAGGAAAAAAAAAACACAAAGGACAAACGTACACACATTTAGAGACCGTTGTTGTCCAGCTCAATTACTCGCTTTATTTAAGTGTTGTGCAACTTCCTGATCACAGATCACTGATAAGGTTATGCAACCAAGCCAACAAGATCCCCACCGTCATGTTCTGGGAAACTCAAATACGTTCATCTTAAACTCATCCATGAATGCTGGAATCCTCAGGATAATACTTACGGTTTGTTTGTTTTTAATCGGTTTTTCGAGAAATGTAAAACTTTACAAATACAAAAAACTGCTGATGTCGGAGTACAAACTAAATGTTGCATATTGAGTATTATCTAATACGCCCAGAAGGACCTTGTACATTATAAACATATAATCAAAAGTGAACAAATCACTGCAGTGGCACACAAACACAAACAACATACAGTACCCAGCTCTCAACCCAGATAGCTCTAGATAATATCCCAGCCCACTAAGACTCCTATCAAAGTCTCTTAGGAAATTAGCTGCTGTCTCCATATTGAGCAGGTAAAGGTACTCTACAGCCATGACGCCTTCATGAAGCACGCTGGCTTTAGTATCGGTCTTTTAACTGAGAGGCAATCAAAGGCGTGACACAACTGGGCTAGTTAAGCTTTCACGCTTACTGCCTAAAATACAAACAGTAGGAGATAAAGTTAGAACAGTATCCAAGATCTCTGACATGATGGTGTGCCCTTCATTACAGGATATGACTTACTGTAAAGGTAACAGACTCAGACTGTATAAAACATGGACATAGGTTTCTGAAAAGTCTTCATGAAGCCCAATGGTGGGACGTCGTCATGTTGGAAATGCTGACTCCACCTCAAACAGACTATAGCGGCTAAGCCTAAAACTTAAAGCCACTGAGGGGCTGCATAGACGGGCTAATCTAGCCTATTAATTGACGTGCTTGCCGGCTTTGCTCCTGAGCGTGAGCATTCGAAAATAAGACAGTCCAATATCTTCTTTGTTTCGGAATATTTATTTCCTCGTTCCATCATTGTCTTGATTACTGTCACATGTGAACTGTTCAAACAATAATCGACAGCTGCTGGAACAATTTGTGTTTGCACTTCGCAAACATGGCTCCTACACAGACTAAAAAGTGAAGCTGAGACGTGCCCTAAGCGTCCTGGCAAAAAGCTACAACGCATCCACCAATCTGTTGACTCAACCAACTCATTATTATGCAATCTTAAGAATGAATGTCATCCAAACGAATAAGTCGTGAATAAAAACTCACCTCCTTAAAGATTTTTACCAATGATCAAATTAGCTGTTAAGACAAAAACATTTTTTGTATCATAAATAGGTTTATTTTCACTGTAAAAATTGGCATTTTGATATGAGACATAATGGGGATTCTTTGAACTGACGATTTTTGAACTGGCTTTTTTTATTTTATTTATTTATTTATTTTTTAAACAATGGAGGTTGACGGTTGATCTGACCTCTCTTGGCCAATCTTTTTCAACATGTGCAATATTTCACAAGCACAAATCAAACTGCACCCTTTATGGGAACATTTGAAACTCAAACTGAAGTAGTTTCCAAAGATGGCTCAGTCATGTTGTCATTTATCATCTGATGCTTCCTGTTTTACCGCATTTAATTGTATGATAATTTGTATCGCTCTGGTGGTTGTTGTTGAGCTTGTTTTGTTTTTGGATATGTTGTCAACTGAGTTCGTATTTTAAATGTCAGTCAAGAGAAGCATAGAGAGAGAAGTATGGCAAATATCATTTAAATAAAAACACTGTATTGTGTCTCATCTGTTTATATACTTGTATTTAAATAAACATTAAATAAAGACAGGAAGAGAAATGCACATCAAAGACAAAAGACAGGATAAAACAGTAGACAAGAATTATCTTGAGTGAAAAGAGCTAAAGCAAAAGTATTAGCATAAATAGTTTCCCTCTCTTCGCAGCTGCTATACTGAATCCCTTGAGAGAAACAGTTCCCACGTCTAAAGATGAGGAAATGTGGGAGTGTAAGAAAACACACTACGCAGAAAGAACCTGATATCAACCAGACTGGATTCTGGATTCCTTCCCCGGTACTTCCCAGCTTGTTGTTTGGTTAGTTTTTGGTTAGTAAGAGCTGAAAGAAAGAGGATGTGATTCATCTGCTGTCTGACCTCATAGGTCCCCGGCATTTAAAAAAAAAAGGAAACGTTTTGTTTTCACAAAGTTCACCAGTTAAACAAAGTTAGTATAAGTGCAAATATCAACATGAAAACAAGGTCATAGTGACTGACATCATGTGCAGGGACAAGACAGAGCAGATCTATTCTAAAGTAGAGTCAGGGGATTTGTTAGCATGCTCAAAGCTAAACACATAGATAACTATTGTTTACATTTGCCTCGATGCAAAGCTGATGAACTGCAGTAAAAGTCACATTGATGACAGGCAGCAGAGCATGCACATTCAGGAAAGACATCCAGGGGAATTGTCAAGTCCAACGATGGCGGTCACCATATTGAAAATGACGTCTCACCCTAACTTTCAGTCAGCCTAGTAAAAGGCAAAGACTTAGAGCTGAGGCGGGCCTTAAGCTTCCTGGCTGAAAACTCCTGCTGCACCTGCTTTCAGTCATATCAGTCACGGCCCTGATTATGAATTACTCTTATCCTACATAAAATAAAAACACATGAGGTATAACAAATTACCTCAATTGTATAATGCCTGTCGATTAAGTAATGAGCTATTTGGGCCAGCCAGCCTCAAGTGGACACTCAAGGAACTGCAGCATTAGCACTTTGGCATTGGCTTAATTTGTCAACGCCACAGGTTGGTGCTAGTTCAAAACATATTTCCTTCATGTTTTTGTTTTTGTGCTAGTGCACTTTCTTTGGACTTTGAACAGGCCGATGAACAGAGGACCGACAAAGCAAAGGATTCAACAACAGCGAACAGAAGGGACCGTGAAACAATGCGTGCTGAAGCCTGCCGGCATTGTGCTGTTTTATGACACCTGTAGTTTTATAGAACTCAGACCTCAGAAGAGGAAACCTATAGATACACAGTTTATTTAATCTTGTTAAAGACTGTGGTGTAACATTTTACTGCCGTTATTGTCTTTGGTGTAAACAAAATAAAAACTAAACCTGCAGGTCATAACTTAATATGGCGCCATGCTGCACTTTATAACCACTGCAGAACACACCTTAATCAAATGACATGTGCAGGAGTAGAATAACTCAAATAGGAACGCAGTGATGACTGCAAAACATTTCGAGTGCATACTAGGAAATATGCCTTTTAATCATGAATAGTGTTAACTTTATCAGGCTTATCGTCCCTCAGCCGACCACATGATCTTAAAGGTCTAACTAGGTTTTAAATAGTTTAAAGAAGTCTCAGAGTTCCCCAAAACATGTCTGTGAAGTTTCTTCCTAAAAATCCACTCTGGTCCTGTATTTCATCATGCCTATAAACCCCTCTATCTCAGCCTTGACGTAGAAACGGGCTGTTTACAGGCTGTTTCTGCGTCGGTAGCTTTAAATGCAAATGAGCTGTGTTTGACCACGCCCCTTTGGAAGGGCTTGTGTGGCTCTGGCCTTCTTGCACCATGCCTGATTGTTTACTGTTAGAATGCAGACTCAGCGGGCAAAACAAACACCTAGCTGTGGGAGTGTCACCCACCTGGGGGAAGGGGTTACTGCCCTTTGTGATGTCACAAAGGGAAACTCTTCGAACGGCCTGTTTGAGCACACATTTTCTGAAAAGTGGAGGAGGCAAATAACGGACAGGATGGACTTTTCTCATAATCTGGGGGTTTGTAGACAAACTAGGGACAAGTCTTAGTGTTAGAAAAACATGACGAAGTGTATTTTTGCATAATATGTGACCTTTAATATATTTGAGAATTACCTCCTACATTACCCCCAACAACACGTGGAGAACACGTGGTGACTTAGATGAGTGTAGAAGGTGACGGTGTAGGACGACTGTGAAAGTCACAGCAGGAGTGCCGGCTTCAGTCAACGGATGCAACTCTCACTTTTTTTTTCTAAATCTGTAGTAGCTGTTTCATTATTACTCTTCAAAGTCGCTGAAAGAACAACTCCAGATGGTTGAAATATATTCTGGGTAATGTAGTCATATCACTGTGTGAAAGAAGACTGATGCAGTTCGTAGGTGGAATTTCCCTGTACAGGTGCTGCAGCTGCTTTGAACGTTATTTGATTTCTGCCTGGGCGCTTGTGTTTGTGCTACCTGTGGTGTGGTGATGATTACAGCTCCATCGACGTGGGTGGAGCTTAGGTACTGCACTATGGACAGGTGTTCGTCTGAGGTTCCAGGGGGCGTGTCCACGATGAGGTAATCCAGTTCCCCCCAGTCGACATCCCTCAAAAACTGCTTGATCATCCCTGATTTTGGACAAACACCACACCGGTTAAAGGGATATGACACGAAAACAGTAAAACACATTTTATGCACACACTTAAACTAAAACATTACCATTCTTCTTTGGTCCTCTCCAGATCACAGCGTCATCGGGGCTACTGAGAAGGAAACCGATGGACATGACTGCCAGGTTGTCCTCCACATACTGCAACACACACACACACACACACGTTAATGATATTTGTATAACTAGTGACTAATGTCATTAACACCTAACATTTATGAATGGATAGAAATGAAATATGAGATAATAACATGAAAAGGGTGTCATTTTCTGTCCAAAAAGAACGATTTTTGCAGATTAGGAGATGATCATTATCATTAGCTTGCTCTTTTTTTTTCATTTGTTGCAATGTAAACAGATTTGTACTGTTTAATGATTCATTCTTGACATAGATCTTTTTACTGGATAAATAAAAGGGAATTGCGTGTGAAATGACTCACCACTGGAGACCATCCAGAGCCGCTCTGGTGAACCTGCACAGAGAGAACAGATTGTTGACCAGCAGTGAAATGTGAGGGGATAATGACTGTATGGGGGTGGAAAGCAGATGTCTTGACAGAGTAAGAGTAATTCATGTTAACAAAAAGATCCCAATCCAGGCTAAATTCTTGACATTCATCTGTGATATCTACTGCTCATTATAATATGTGCAACTTGTGCTAAAGTCAAATCCCGGTGACAAATGACAAATGTAGAAGGGTGTATTTCTTTAAACATATCTGCTCACCTGTTCTCCTTCTAAGCCCATGATCCGAGGAATCGATGGACCACAGATGTCTACATCCAGCAGTGCAACCTGAAAGTGAGACAGAGGGGGGGGGAGTTCAGTCCTGTTTCCTCTTCACCCCATGTGAAGAGACATCCGTGACACATTATTAAATTATACTTTAAACTATTGGAAAGTTTAGTCTTCTTGAGGTTTTTTTATTTTTTTTTAAATGGTAAAAGATTTTTAGATGATTTTTGAACTGACAAGTCTGCCTTTCTAGTGAACCTTATGGCATCTGCAGTGACCTCTAGTGGTATTTAATTGTCACTATTGGACAAATTAAATCTTAAGAAAACAATCAGCCCAGAGGGTTTAAGACACCACATGCTGAAGTTGCATAAAAATCACAGCATCTTAAACTCTGCTAGGGCTCTGTGACTTGTGCAGTACGAAAATAAAAGAAGAAAAGATTACCTCCTTTGTGTTGTCACTCGCCAGGGCATGAGCCAAGTGAGCGCTGAACGTGCTCTTTCCCACTCCTCCTTTTCCAGACAACACCAGGATCTTGTGTTTGACTGTTGAGAGCTTTTCGCCTATCTCTGCAATGGCTGGAGATGAAACAGAGAGGGAGAGGAAGGATGGATATGTTTAGCAGCAGCACCAAATTTCAAATGCAAAGAAAACAAAGGCCCACTTAAAGACATGGTTTCAGTTCATGACCTGCACTCTTTTTTTTTTTTAATTAGGTTTTTTCTCAAGCGTTCTCTTACCGGGGTCTGGGGCCTTGGTGGCTCCAGAAGCACACAGTTTCTGGTTTGGACATCCCTGACATGACGATGTCTTTCCTGCTTGCTCACTTTTTGTTCCCGGACAATCTAAAAGAAATAATCAGAAACCATAAAGCAGTGTCCAAATTAGATCAGCCTTTAAAAAAGAATAATAATAATAAAAAAGCCTGACACATAGTTTTAAGAGTGAATGAATTGGGGGAGAAAAAAAATACAGGGCATTTTATTAATATTCTAGTTGAGATTACAGATGAGCCAAACAAACAATAAATATCAGATTGTTTTTCTTTGGAAAATGTCAGGCAAATATTGTAGTTTGGTAGGAGTGCTGCCATAAAAAAAACATGCACTCTTGAGTTAGAATATTTACACACACACACACACACACACACACACACACACACACACACACACACACACACACACACACCACACACACACACACACACACACACACACACACACACACACACACACACACACACACACACACACACACACACACACACACACACACACACACACACACACACACACACACACACACACACACACACACACACACACACACACACACACACACACACACACACACTTTAATGACGAATGAAAACTGTTACTTTCTACACGGCTCCCTTTGTGCTGTGATGCATTCACGTTGCGTCAGAATAATCGGAAATTGCTTCTACAACTTGGAAAATTACCTTTAAGACTTCATAAATTTGGGAACAATAACTGGTAAAGTCGGAACAACAAATCTTGGTAGGCCTGTCAGACTAACAGACTTTACGTTTTTATCAAAAAGTAGAGAGAGAAAAAATAAATCAGAAACAAACTTTGGCTTGATAGTAAAAACGTTTTTTTTTGTATCAAACGTTTTGATGAATTTGTCAGTTATCGTAAACGATAAGGCTGTGCAGGTAGAGTCACCTGAACTAAAGAAAGACAGGTAAGAGGCATCCATTCCCACATAAGGACTCAAATTCGTGAACACAACTTAAAACATCCGAGGAGCACCTGAATGCAAAGTATGATTCAGCAGATTTCACTGTATGCGTCCATGAAACAAATATTTTCAGTCCTGTTAAAGCAGCTTTTTATGCATTTTATTTTTGCTTTTAAGTCAGAAGTTAATATTTTCAGCAACGACCTAAAGAATTTAATTTAATGGCAGTAATTAAAAAAAAACAAAAAACAAAACAACTGCGCCATTAAATTTTACAGATCAAATTCGGCTTAATTTTAACTTAATTCCACACAGTTTGAGTACATGTGACGACTCAATGTTATTGTAGCTGTTTAATTACATTACTAGTGTATAAAACCCTGAAAGCTATTAAAATACAGAGTTGACAACACTGCTGAGTGTCACAGTGAAAGAGAGACGTTTCTCCAAAAGTTACCACAGCCCTAAACTACATTTATGAAAGCCGACGAGCACTAGAAAGTAACTGTATGTGACATTTTATTAAGATAGCAAATCTGTTTAAGTTGAATAACTCACGCTCAGGTGCATTATCTGGTACGTCTTCCATCTTTGCGCGACTGTCCACCCGTTTAAATCTTCCCCCTTGAAGGTTCCGCATACGCACAACTTCTGTGTATATTATGCAAGAGCATGAAATCTTTTTTATTTTTTGTTGTTTTTTTTATTTTTTAAATGAAGACATTTGTCCACGTGTTTACTCCAACATGATTTTAAAGTCTTCTAAAATAGCAATAGTGGGACTTATTGGGTTTTGTAAAAACAGCAGTTCGCAAAAACGAACTTCATGAAGGAAACAATCTCTCATAAGTCAATTTTTACATCAACCATGTTAATGTTTTTTTTTAATTGGATGTTGTAAATATAGATACCTCAACATATTTCAGAATAAATAGAAAATAAACTTTTTCTTAAACAATCAACAGAGTTTAGTTTACTGACTGACTGACTGACTGGTCAAATGTCTCCACAAGGGGGCGCTGTTGATTAGCAAACCATTGTGATATTCACACATGCACAGAAATGAAGGAGACCACGTGTTGGTCCCCATCTGACAAACTTTACACTGAACTTCATTCACTGCACAACAAAGCTTCCACATTGGCTGTATATGGAGGATATCTGTAATATGGCTAAATTACATTTTATTGAGATTACAGTTTTTTTTGTCTGGGCACTGATTTTGGAAATTAAGTGTAAGAAACAATAAAGCAAATGTTTTGGTGAAATAATCCAACCTTTTTTATGAACTTGTGCCCAAAGAGTCATGGCTGTTAGAACGTGGTCTTGAGTTTGCATTTTCAGATGAGGCTGGTTAAAGGGACATCAAAAGCAAGAGAGAGAGAGAGAGACAGACATTGAGGCAGACTTAAATAAAATGAGTAAGGGCTGCAGAGTGAGAGGCAGAGAGAGAGAGAGAGTGAGAGCAGAGACAGGGGTTGTCATTAGTCGTGTAATTCATCCCTCGAGGCTACGTGAAAGTCTAAGCAGAAAAAACAACAACTGTGCAATAAGAGACAGAAGTTAGAGAGTAGTTTTTTGATGACATCCTTCCTCTTTCTTCCCATGACTCCCAGACACTTTGAATGAAATACAAAACAGTTGAACTGGCTGTTTGAAAAGGGAGGAGAGACACTCTAAAGAGACTTAATCCAACCTAGCGTGCTCTGCTAAATCTTAAAACAAGGAAAATATGAACTAAATGCCACTTATACGTCACTTTGACCCTTAAGAGGACTTTTTGTGGACGAGTGGACAAGCACTATTGTGGATTGTAGTTGTGGCAGTAGATACCCATTTATGCAGTACTTAAACAATATGTCAGAGCAGTTTACACTATTTACTATATTCACACAGCAGCAATTTAACTTTGAAGTAAGTCTTCGTATATGGGAAGCTCTAGTGCTATTCAAATGTAGTACTGTTGTGTTCCAGGTTTTAGCTCATGATGTAGGGTAGCTGACACGTTCTTATCATTTCAGTACTTCTTCATGGATCAGCAGCTGAAGAGACAATGAACAGTCAAACTCTGGAGGGAGAGTGGCCCATATTTCACTCTAAAACAACATATATAACATATACAAACGTAAGGATGATAAATAATATATACTAAAAGGTGGCTGATATTATGAACAGTACCTTGTGTATTTTCTCTACGCAGGTCATTTGAGAGGTTACATCATCAGTCACTACTTTCTACGCAGTGTTCATTAGATGGAATAGTTCATATTAAAGTCACATTGTGTCCTTTCAGGGAGTGGCAAACACACACACACACACACACACACACACACACACACTCAAACCGAGTTACTCAGCGAAAAAGGTTAAGCCTTGCAAGTCATCCCATAAAGAACAATACAAAACACACGCGCCTTAACATAACTCACACTCTTGTTATAAGGATTAGATTAGCAGAGGGATATTTGTGTGTGTGCGTTTGTTTGTGGGGAAGAGCGTGGCATTGCAGACTTGTCACACGACTGAAGAGGAAAGAGGAAGTAAGTCGTTTATGGAAAAATGATGGGTGTGAGCTGGGCGCACAACAAGTTCAACAGGAAACAAAGTATTCGTGGATTTCATTTGGATTTGAACTTGTACTTGTACTTTCACTGACTCTTCGACAAGAAATAACGATAGAATTGAAGACTACACACTCAGGCAAAAAATTCAGAGTTCAGACTCTGAGTCTCCTTGTTGTTGAATTAATTTTTTTGCACACTTGTAAAATATGGGGATCTTTACTTGCAGTCTCCAGCCCGCGTGAACGACCTCCCGGCACACTTCTGCTTTTGTGCAAGGCTGCATTCAGACCATCGACTGTATATAAGGATGGACGCCACGTCATACCCCAATCTGGCACCGACAAGTTGTGATGGTGACGTCACTTGGCGCCAGAAATGACACAGTAAATATCGCATGGAGCCGCGGTGTTTATTTCCCATCCATCCTTCCCGCACCGCAAAAGCCACATTTGACAACAGAGCTGTCAATCATGCCGTCTAACCCCCTTTTATAGCTTCAAATAACAAATTAACTTAACTTCTCATTAAAATTAACACTTGGACATAAATCAGCAAAGTAAGAAATTAATTTAATAACAGACACCATGTTTGAGAATTATTTTATTTGTCGAGTACTTAAACTTTATAGTTTAGCCCATGTCCCTTCTGTTAAAATGGAGGAGGCAGGCTTTTTGAACTATACTACGGCCAGTGAGTAGGTGGACGCCAAATACATTGGCTTCACTTTTGGGGAGCTGTCATGTTGTCCATCTTTTTATACAGTCTGTGGTGCAGATACATAATTACCCCTGGACACATCATGTTTAGGCTTTTTGTGCTCGTACACAAGGTACTGTAACTTCAATTTGTATGCCTGTGTCAACTCTTTTTTCTGTGTTATTTCAGGAATTTATTTAAAGCTTGAAAGCATCTTGATATGGAAATAAATATTGCTTCATTTTCAGGAATTGGAGCCCATGAGTACTGTTGGATAACAGTGCTACATTATCGAACAATCATCTTCATGCCTCAACCCTTTGGCCTCAATCTCAGCAGCTAACAACTTCTGTTCATTTTTTTGGTGCCTTTGGAGACAAGACCCACCAAGCTCAGAGATTTGTCGAAGAGAATGGACAGGATGGATTTTGTTTAATCAATCGCAACAATGGTGGAACCTTAAAACAATTACAATTTTACCTTTAAACAAGAGGACTTTTCTTACTCACCAAAATTCTCAATGAAATCCAAACCAGTATCATTTTCTAGCAATTAACCTAAATGTAATAATACGTTAACCATAACATTTTAAGCTCATAAAAGACACATTTTGTTGTCTTTCCAATAGAAGCATCAATAACAGATCTAGTTCTTGTGGGCAGTTACAAAGGAAATAACTTTATTTTGGTGTGTTGTGCTTTAAAACAGTGTTTGTATTGAATTAAAGGATAAAGTTACAAATACTTGATGATTAGAAACTGTGGCCCCCGAAGCAGAAAGACTTAATCTCACAGGTTCTTTTCTTTTCACACTTTCCTCCATCATTCCTTTACCTCAGATACTCCCCGCTCTTTCTCCTCCTTTGCATTCCTCCTCTTTTCTCCTCTCTTATGAAATTCTCAGCTGCCGCGGTCATGTTGGGTCATCCCCTCAGAGACTAATTTAGATGTTTTAACTGCACCTTGTTTGGTGGCACTCCAGTGTCTTGGCCTCACATGATGTGTTTGCCTGAAGAGTGACAAACATTCTTGCATTAGCTTTTGACATTTTGATTGCATTAAACTACCAGGAATGTCACTTGATGAAGAGTTCATTGTCAATGTGAACTGTTTGATGTTCTCGTTTGTGCCTGTAGGGATTACCAACCATAAATCAATAGTGGAAAACACATGATACCTGTTTTCCCATCCAGTCTGCATTCTTGAATTCTTTGCACATATCAAAAATGAAATTGAAGTGCAAAGTGCATTTTCTTTATGATGTTCTGTATAGTTGAATGTTCCTACTTCACACACATATGCAGTGCAAGTTAAAGATAATTATTTCAGTATTTTCTGGTAGTTATTCTGGTCAGGCTGCAGTTAACAGGAATCCCAGACATCTACTTCATCTTCATGCCTCAACCCTTTGGCCTCAATCTCAGCAGCTAACAACTCAAACCACTGACACCCCCCCCCACCCCCCCAACTCCTTTACCCAAAACAACCTTGCAACTCGACCTCAGAATGCCGACAGTGTTGATGAATGCGGCCTAACATCTACAACAATTTGGCAGATGTTCTTCATCCTGCTTCATGTAACCCTGAATCCATCCAATCAACTTTGCATCTTTTTATGTTATATAAAAGTAAAGTTCATAAGCCGTAATGTCTTCTGAAATTGCACGAAAGTGTTGGGATACCCAGCCTCAAGCTTAGACTTGTGAAAAACCTTTACATTTCAAGAATCCTCAATCACTACCCTGATGCCATGGACACTTGTATGCATGTGAAACAAAAAAAACCACACACACACACCCACACAGTCTGGAGAGGTCAGAGGTCAGCAGAGAGGAAGAGGTCATGTGTTGCCGTCCCTTTGCTCCCTTTCAGCTGTCCCAACTGGCATAATAACCCCAGAATAACCGTTGTTACCTCTCGGTCTTTGTTTTTTTTTTTTGGTGTGTGTTTGTGTGTCAGGATTAAACAGTTGGTGAGCAGTTGAGATCACAACTAAAATATCTCGGTTCCAAGGAAGAGGAGTCAGTCATGTGTCCAAGTGTTTATGTAAAGGAAGGAAGATTAAAAGTACACAGCATCCTGCTATAGAAATAAAAATATCTGTAGGTCTAAGATAAACGAATGCACACAATAAAAACTAGAGCTGTTTTTTTCCAGCAATACATATATATATATATTTTATATTTTCCGTAGGAAAAAAGGCATTGTGCATTTTAAAGATGTGACCTAAACGTGAACTGATTATTAGGGGGCATTTGCAAATTCATTTTTGTATGGTAAAAGGTAACAGCCATGGATTTAATTATTCTTTTGAACAATGCATTTTCATTCTAAGGCCTTCAGCTTATGTCTTTGAAAGCAAGAAATTTGA